TTTCATTATTTACTAAGTTGTGCACTGTTCTAAATTTAATATACTAGTCACCTTAAATAGTTAACATTAAGTTTAGTTTATCACAAATCTTATAGCCACTTTAGCCAAGGGAGGATGGCAAGCAAAAAGCACTATTTTGTTTTGTTTTCACTTTTTATACATGACGGTTCTACTGCAGAATTTGTTTTTGCAACTATCCGGATTTCGAGCAGAAAAGACTCATCATCAGGGTGAAGGATCTTCAAACACGTCTCTTGTCATGAATTGTAAGAATGAACGCGCCAATCTACCACGACGTTCCAATGAGAAACTGGTTTTAATGCTTTGGGAAGAGGATGTTACCATCCCCAGGAGGGTAGGTGACATAGACGACGTTTTGCCCTCGCCGCAAATGGGAAGGCTTTGGAGGCTGCTCCTCCATGGGGACATTGAGCATAAGTCCCTTTAGTGCCCCTGCTCTCGACCACCGTCATGACTTCTCGAACGCTCTTTTTATTCATAACTTTTAACTTTTTAGTAACTCGTTTTTTCGAGAGGAGAGGACAATTTGTGGATCGTGTCGAATGGCAGCCGCCGCAGTTCACACATGTGGGTGGGTCGGCGCATCCCGATTCTTTCGGTTTGTCTCCTTGCCGCACTCACACACTTCATGAACACGTTGGTTATCTATACATGTCCATCACTTCTAGCAGACCGTCTGGTAGTCTAGATTTGTATAATTTACAATGAATTACCGGCAGGTCACCCCAGGTCATATCTTTGACGGGATGTGTATCAACAGTTAGGCTATTACATTGTCCTAGGCAATCGGTTCCGAAATCAAAATCCATTCACACTCTCACTCATTGTGAGATATATTTTTTCGCATTTGCATACCCTTCACTCCATTAGGGTGGTGAAGTACTCGATATTCCTCCATCACCCTTTGCAACTGTTATATAACTAACTTAATTGAGGGTTGATGTGGGTATTCAATATTTCGCCATCAGCCCACTTACACTACACATTTACGCCAATAAATACATTCATTCTCAACACGCGTTAGATACACAACACTATCACTACTATAAATATATACAGTTGACTGGCGATAAGTGTCGAAAATTTCAGGTGTTTCTATTCACCATATGCAACAAAAAACTTCCTATAAACTCCTGCCCGAATCTCAACGGTAAAAAAAGTAATTTCAGGTTTTGGGTGTTTTTTGTTGACTTAGGCCCACTAAATTACTTATAAACTTCAGAATTGCTGACTGTAAAAAAATCTGATTTTTGACAATTAATTAAGGTTTTTAGTTGAGATGAAAAAAAGTTAATGGCACTAGAGGGATTCGAACCGACGACCTTCGGCTAGATACGCCGCTGCTCTATCACCTGAGCTATGTATTAATTGGTCAAGCAGACCACGAAAGTAGTGAATTAATGATTTAAAAATGAAGTACACTTCACTAAAACTCTCCGTCGCCATTTCAATTGTCGTCGAGAATCCAAACCGATTACACGACATTTGAAAAATGGCAAAAGGAGGGAAAACTCATAAGGTGGGGTGAAATGGGGAGTTGATGTCCGAGTGGATCGAGGTCACGATAGCTCAGGTGGTAGAGCAGCGGCTTATCTAGCCGAAGGTCGTGGGTTCGAATCCCTCTAGTGCCATTAACTTTTTTTCATCTCAACTAAAAACCTTAATTAATTGTCATGTATTAATTGGTCAAGCGGACCACGAAAGTAGTGAATCTTATTTATGTCACCTGAAAGAAGGTTAACTTTGCTGTAAGGAAACCTGTTTCGGGTGTGTTCCCGGCTTTACATTTTGAGCGTTTAATGCTCCAAATTCGAATCGTCCTAATCAAAAAAGATAATAGAGCATTACTGGCAATTTTAAGAGATCCCGATTTGATCAATTTATTGTTTAACAATAATGCCTTTTAATAGGGGGGGGGTTGCAACAGCAATGGTAGGCAAACCGTGGTTTTGATGTTTGACCGCTAAAAAATCCCATTTAGACGTCGTACTGTCTATTCAATTAAGAGACTAAATTTGTGAAAAATTAAAATTAATTATCAATAAGGGCAAAAGTTGTACTCTAGTCGTAGATAGAAACGGCAAATAATTTTTCTTTTTCTTTCTTATTTTTACTCAATTTTATCAGCTTCCATTAAATATATAAATACTTAATTAATTATACACTATTTTTTTCGAAATGAAAAATTTGTGTCACAGGCGGGATTCGAACCCACGACTTTCGGCTCAATACGCCGCTGCTCTACCTCTTGAGCTACCGTGACTTCGATCCACTCGGACACTAACTTCTCATTTCGACTACCGATTTTATTGTAATTATAAGCAAATCGCGGCTTCATATAGAAACACTTTTTATTAACTATTATACCAGATTAGCGGGACTGTGTACGATTCACAGGTGTGATTATAGATTAATACTAAATTTTATCAGCTTCTATTAAATATATAAATCCTCAATTAATTATACACAATTTTTCATTTCGAAAAAAATTGTGTATAATTAATTGAGTATTTTTATATTTAATAGAAGCTGATAACATTTGGTAGCTCAAGTGATAGAGCAGCGGCGTATTGAGCCGAAAGTCGTGGTTTCGAATCCCGCCTGTGACACAAATTTTTCATTTCGAAAAAAATTGTGTATAATTAATTGAGTATTTCTTATTTTTGTTCATAAATATTTCGATTATTTGGCCAATTTCTTGTTACCTGTGAGTGACACAGAAAGCCCAAGCAAGATGAACACTATTTTGTTTAAACATTATCGATATTAATTTAAGGTTTAAATTAAATTTAACGTTTGGTTTATAATTTATTTGATTTTATTTTTAATTAAGCCAAATCGAAAGAATGAGAAAACAGGCTGAAAGTGTTTTCTAAAAAGGACCTAGAACAGTGGTCTTCACTTGCTGTCTTTATGTGCTTGTGATGAGCATAAGTCAACTTTTTTTTTTTTTTTTTTAAGAAAAACAAAGTTTATCTAACGTGTAAATTGTAATTCGTAATGGTTATATTAAACTAATCATAAGTCCAATTCTGTTCAGACCGTCCGGATTCAATTATGTCTAAATAAACATGTAATACTCCCATGTGATTGCCAAGACTAGGTTAATCAACGTCTAATTTGACCAGTATTTCCATTGCAACAATAGCCGAGGATAGTCGATTTTTAAAAAAACCTTAATTTATCCAGGAAATTTAGTTTGGTTATGACGTTATTTGTGCAAGTAAAATCAGGTTCTCGACATCTAAAGCCCTATAGATGATCTCGCGATGGAGGCTGACCGTCACCTAAAAACCTCGCATTCGGTCCCTTCAAAATCCCTATTATGCTCTAACAAAGGAACAACGCCCAACCTGCGACATGTGGATATACGTCCCTTGTTCAGTGACACTAAACCCGTTCTGACGGTCGCAAAACAAGGAAATTAATTTCCAAGTTTTCCTTACTTCGTTTTTTCATAGAAATTGACAATCCTGTGCCAAAAAAGTTAAAATAGAAAAAAAAATGAAGTACTACAATATTAACAAAAACGTTAATGTAGGAATATCGGTGTGTTTTATTCCATTTACATTAATGATCCATACATATTTATTGAAGAAGTTTAGTAACAGACGTGATAAATTAATATAGATACTATAAATAAATTATTGTTTATTGTTTACGGCAAAACTTGTTTTCATATGAGACATACAAGCTGTTTAAAGTTCGACTGATTAAGCTGGCGTTCGCCACTTTTAAGTCCCTGGCTAACCATTAAGCCCCATTAAGCGCAATAATCTGAACTAATTTAAATAAGCAAACATTTACCTTTCATAAAAGCGTTCAAAGAGCATGGTTATGATGAAAACAAATTTGCTTTTCAACAATAATTTCTCGTTCAAATCACATAGTTAATTAAAGGTCTTCCTAAATGAAAAAATGGAATCATAAAATATTACCTTTCATAGCGTCGTAAGTTAAAAATTTTGGAATCTTTCGACGAGACAAACACGGTATTAGAAAACAAATGTGACAACAAATAAAACATTATTTATCTACGATTTTATCATTATTTTAGGCCTTCCTCCTAAAGCAAAATAAAATAATTATTATTAATATCAGAGAACGTCAACAATCTTTTTATTAATCATGAACACTATAAATTTATGTTGATCGGAGGTTGTAATGTAAGAATTGGAACTGGTCGAACTTCACCAGATATTAATTTGTATCGCCCTTCCATGGGAAATAACGAAAGAATGTTTCCGTTCGTAGAAGATCACGATTTTGATTCGGACGACGTAATAGATTGTAATTATGTATGGATGTATGGTTTATGGGTAGTAATAATCAAATATATATATCAAGCCCGTGCAGGTGCCCCTTATGCAGAGAAAGGTAGCTCGATGTGTCCCACATAATAGAGGCGTGTCATGCCTTGGCTCCATACAGAGAGCGTGTAGGCATGCCGCCGGATTTAAGAAGAGTCCTCGAGCACGGTAGCNAGTCGGAGCTGTCTCAACTGTCGCAGCACCATCCACCGTACTCCACCGACCAAACGGAATGAGTGAACTGTATGGATGTATTTAAGTGTATAAATGTATTTTACTGTAAGATAGATTTAGTGGGGGGCTGAAATGACCTAGATGTCGGAAGCCCCAGCAAAAAAAAAAAATCAAATATAAGCACACCACAGTTAATTGATAATCAAAACAAATGTGAAAAAAGTAATAATAGTAGAAACGATATAAATGAATAGAACATAGTAAAATGAATAAACAGCTGAATTAAAAGAAAAAATAAATAAAAAAAGGACCAGATCCAGACCGCATCTCACGATTTCTGAATAAAAAAAAGACATTCATACATATAAATTAATAAATTCACTAATTTCGTGGTCCGCTTGACCAATTAATATATTACAAATAATTAACGTTTTTTAGTTGAGATAAAAAAGTCAATGGTACGAGCGGGATTCGAACCCATGATCTTCGGCTTGATACGCCNGTCTCGGTTATGCCTCTGGTCTCGGCTACGGTGCAGGCGCTGTTGGCGTCGGTACCGCTGGATTCGGCCTCGGTTCAGCTGGACTCGGCTACGGTGGAGTTGGACTCGGCTACGGTGGAGTTGGACTCGGCTACGGAGGAGTTGGAGTCGGAGCTGTCTCAACTGTCGCAGCACCATCCACCGTCCACCACAGACAGGAAACAGTTGCTGTACCAGTACCCCAACCCGTGCCAGTCACCGTCACGAGAACTCAACCCGTGCCAGTACCCCAACCCGTGCCCGTCGACGTCCCTAGGCCCGTCCAGGTCCCCGTCGCTCACCCCGTACCCGTAAGCGTACCCAGGCCTTACCCAGTCACCGTCACCCGCACATACCCCGTCCCGGTCACCCACCAAGTCCCTGTGCCTGTACCTCAACCCTACCCTGTATCCGTTCCCCAACCCTACCCCGTTACTGTCACCAGAAGAGTGCCTTATTCCGTACCCGTTCCTCACGTTGTTCCCGTACCTACCAAAGTGGTCCACCCCACACCTGTTGTTCACGCAGCTCCCGTTGTTCATGCAGCTCCTGTTGTTCACGCCGCCCCAGTACTCGCCGGTGGCGTCGGATTAGCCTCTTACGGTACTGGATTTAACGGAGGAAGCTTGGGCTTCGGATCGGTTGGTCATTCCTTCGGTCATTCCCTTGGCTCTTACGGCCTTGGAAGTTCCTACGGATTGGGTCACGCTTGGTAGATCTATAAATCATCTGACATCATTTTATCATTGTAAATACGCATTGTCATTCACTTTTTTATCTTAATAGATTTTAATATATACATCACTTGTTTTGTTTTGCCCATTCCCTCTTCTCATTTACTTAGCTATAAGTATGGAACATATCCTTATACATTAGTCAAAACATGAAAAGAACAAGACTAACAATTCAACAAGCATGGTCAATGGTGCACGATGATTCAATCAATCATTATTTTCAAGAATAAACAATCTAAAGATACAGACTATATCGACGATATAAAGTATGTACAAAGGTTGCACAACTCTTGTTCTGCAATAATAGACATTATAAAAGGGGTTTCTTCTCACAACGCTCCTTCGCACTGACGACTATCTTATAATTTATAAGCTCTCTTGATTCAAATGATAGAATAAGAATATAGTTCGATTTAACTTCCACGCTTGAAAACTGAACCAGACATCCTTGATGCAATCGATTCAAAAGGGTGGAAATAGAAATCTCTTCATTTTCCCATCATCTATAATTTATATTTGAACATTATCAAAATCCCTGCTGGAAATGATATTTAATCTGAACTACATCTAACTTCAGACCACGTTATATATAAATATATTACAATTGGAAATGTTCTGATTGTTACGTGTGACTGGCATTTTTGGTTCGTAGACTTAACCAGTTCTCAAATGCCAGCAGGATAAACAAATCGTTGGCTGTCTGAGCAGTAGTTCAATAGAGTGGCCGATGTTCGGTTCGAATTTTTCCTGTTCCCTTGAAATATTTCCAATGGACATTTGAATATGAGAAGTATTGCAAAATAGTCAATCCCACCTTCACCATACCCAAAAGTTTATAAAAAAATCTTGAGTAAAGAGGTTTTTTTTACCAAAACAGATCTAACTGCTAAGTAGCTGTTTTCTCATATTTCTGAACAGTTTATTTATCACAAAGTATAATTTTATTATTGTGATGATAATTATATATTGGCCTTGTGGAAACACAAGGGAACACCATTTTTTATGTCCGAAAAACAACTTTTGTATCTCCAAAATCTTTATCTTTATAGATTTCAATAAACTGCGTTTTTCTTTGTTGCCTGAGTGTGCCACCTCCTTCAAGTGAGGACGAGGTTAATTATCTCTGCGTATTTCATGTCTTAAGGTCTATTGCAGACTATACCTAAGAACAAGATTGATGTTGCCCCGAGGGAAGATCTCAATTACAAGTTGTTGGGGTAATTTACTCGCTACCGGAGGTCTATCCAAATGAACAACGTTGTAATATCTATAACGATAGGATGAAAATGTATTTCTTAGCAAACAATATTGAAACAAATAAGCAAGTCGCGATCTTTGTGATCCTGAGAGCGCAACGGATAAAAGTTACAAGAGTTGTGGAACTTGTTACATAACTAGTTAGATCACTCAAGAGTATCAGCAGGAAAAAGGGTAGAATTTTATGCACATCATCAATTTGAAGGTGAATCCGTAAATGACTGGTTCTTACGAGCAATGTATGAATTTAACTGTTACGAACATATACAGGGTGTCCCAGTTCCTTCTGACGAAACTCAGGGAATCGATTCTACTATTCGTTTGGAGCAAAAAATGCTCAGAAGATAATTATCGGAAAGTTCTCTATTTTGAAGATATTCGTCAATTTAAGTTCTTTCAACTTTTCATTACCTTACCACATAAAAACGCTAACAACTTCCACAATGTTGAGACTACAATAAATCCAATTACACCATTTGAAAAAACGCTAAATTTGCTGTAACATACTTCTTTGCAATAATCTGAATGACATAAAATGTTAGCCAATGGGGGGGGGTAGAAATAAATCAATTAGAACTCGCTTTGTAAAATAAAAATGTCACATCTGTAATCTCACAAAAAACATACCAGTCAGCTTCATACAATAAAATGCAATGGTTCTTCTTGTAGCAAGCGCCTAACACCAAAGGAGGAACTTTGCAGAGGAAATGCTCAAAGTGTTTTCCCTCTTCTCGAATGCACAACTGATTTTCTGAATTTCTACCCCCCCCCCTTCAAATTTACCTTAGCTCACGTTTTCGAACATTCAATTGTTATTTTTCAACTCTACTAGAACGTTATTTAAAAACCTGGATATATCAACGTAAAGCATATTAGATGAAGAAGTTTTTGTAAAATTTGACAAGTTGTAGGTATTTTTTTGTAACCTCAGTAGAACGTGCAATCATGACCAAAATTTTAAATTTTGTAATATTGACATGTACCAACTGATATTGGCTAACATTTTATGTCATTCAGATTATTGCAAAGAAGTATGTTACAGCAAATTTAGCGTTTTTTCAAATGGTGTAATTGGATTTGTTGTAGTCTCAACAATTTGGAAGTTGTAAGCGTTTTTATGTCGTAAAGTAGTGAAAAGTTCAAAAAAACCTAAATTGACGAATATCTTCAAAATAGAGAACTTTCCGAAAATTTTCTCCTGAGCATTTTTTGCTTGAAACGAAGAGAAGAATCGATTCCCTGAGTTTCGTCAAAAGGAACTGGAGCACCCAGTGTACTTACGCGTTTATATCTTTATGAAGTTGCATTTGTATTTACATATTTATATTGTCTCATTTATTTATTCATTATTTATTAATTTATTTAAGTAGCAGAGTAAATTTGAATGTAAGATGTAGGGTTTTTTAAATTAAATTTTTACCTGACATTGTTATAAAACCATCTTTGCCAATCGTGCAGGAGTGAAAAAAGGAACTTCTCCTGGGGCCACTATGTTAAAATCTTGGACATTTCAATCTGTAATCTATCTGTTAATAAAAAATTGATTATTTAATGGAAATAATTATAGTTGTTCATGCTAATTTGTAATGTAACAGAACGTGTTTTAGTTTCTTAATGCTGGTTCAATTGAAAATGATAAAATATTTGAAATCTGACAAAAACAAATCGATTTGTGGTTTGCTTTAAAAGCTCCAATATAATGTACGTTTCATAGAAGGTTAGTGACAATGGGTTGAAAAATGATAGAAAAAAGTAGAACCGTGGAGATCCACAGTATAGAGTTTGGCAGTGATTAGGAAGAAAGACAAATGGACGTCCATTAACTATTCGAAGAACGGACAATACCGAAAGAAAATGATTCAGTGGGGAGCGACGATTTTAACTTGCAACCCGAGAGCAAAAAAGCCATATGTGAAATACCTATTAAAGCTCGGCCGACTAAATGCAGTTGTCATGAAAAAAATGGCCTGTAGCGGTAAATAAAAGCTGACTTTTCCTTCAACACAGCCTCAATTTTGTTGGTGATGCGGAAAACACTGTTTCATTCCTGTTTCCCTCTGTCATTAAATATTAACTAGACTGAACTGAAAAGGTTTGACAGCAACTGGTGAAAAACCAAATTTTTTACCAGGGGACCATAAATATTAGAAAGGCGGCGAAATATAACTTCATTTGTTATTTTAGAAGTTTGTATTTCAGTTAGCGTTGTTGTAAGTCCCCTCGTTAAATTTCATCGTTTGTTTTAAGTATATATAAAGTAGTTCAAATAAAAATTATATCACTACATAAGGAGAAAGGATTTGCATTTTTAGTTATCGTTCAGATCACCTATCATTTTCCAGCTGGTATTTGGATAATGTTTAAATACAAATTAAAGGCGATAGGCAAATGAATGGATTTATGTCTTATTACTGGGGTGTTATTAAATTGCAACTTGTTGAATCAACCCCGTCAAGTATGTGTGGTTCAGTTTTCAAGCCACCGATGTCGATTGATAGACGACCGTGTAAAGGACCAATGAGATAGAAAACCGCTTTGTAATGTCTTGTTTGTTATGGTAGAACAAGAGGTGTGCCACAGTTGAACAGTACGGAAGTTTTATCAGCTATGTAAATATTGGTTGTATCTTCAAAGATTTGGAAATAGTGATAAATTGAATTGAGGCATTGGTCATGTTGTACACAACGATAATAACTATTAGGCACATTGAGTTGTTATTCTTGTTCCTTTGACGTTTTGACTAGTGTATATGGATATGTTCCATACTTATAGCTAAGTAAATGAGAAGAGGGAATGGGCAAAACAAAACAAGTGATGTATATATTAAAATCTATTAAGATAAAAAAGTGAATGACAATGCGTATTTACAATGATAAAATGATGTCAGATGATTTATAGATCTACCAAGCGTGACCCAATCCGTAGGAACTTCCAAGGCCGTAAGAGCCAAGGGAATGACCGAAGGAATGACCAACCGATCCGAAGCCCAAGCTTCCTCCGTTAAATCCAGTACCGTAAGAGGCTAATCCGACGCCACCGGCGAGTACTGGGGCGGCGTGAACAACAGGAGCTGCATGAACAACGGGAGCTGCGTGAACAACAGGTGTGGGGTGGACCACTTTGGTAGGTACGGGAACAACGTGAGGAACGGGTACGGAATAAGGCACTCTTCTGGTGACAGTAACGGGGTAGGGTTGGGGAACGGATACAGGGTAGGGTTGAGGTACAGGCACAGGGACTTGGTGGGTGACCGGGACGGGGTATGTGCGGGTGACGGTGACTGGGTAAGGCCTGGGTACGCTTACGGGTACGGGGTGAGCGACGGGGACTTGGACGGGTCTGGGGACGTCGACGGGCACGGGTTGGGGTACTGGCACGGGTTGAGTTCTCGTGACGGTGACTGGCACGGGTTGGGGTACTGGTACAGCAACTGTTTCCTGTCTGTGGTGGACGGTGGATGGTGCTGCGACAGTTGAGACAGCTCCGACTCCAACTCCTCCGTAGCCGAGTCCAACTCCACCGTAGCCGAGTCCAGCTGAACCGAGGCCGAATCCAGCGGTACCGACGCCAACAGCGCCTGCACCGTAGCCGAGACCAGAGGCATAACCGAGACCAGATCCACCAAGACCGACTCCACTAAAGCCGACTCCTCCCAGACCATATCCACCAAGACCGACTCCTCCCAAAGATCCTGCTCCGAGTTCGTAACCTCCTAATCCAGTTCCATACCCACCGTAAGTTCCGAGAGATCCGGCGAGGCCTCTCTTGGATTGTTTCTTTTCCTCAGCAGCGCTGACGCAAAGGACAAAAAGCCCAACTAACAATGCACTCTACAACAATAAAAGTAGACATTTAATTTATGTTATTTTTAAACTGTTAACATTAATTACTAAATATTTGTAATTAAAGATATCTGAAATTAGTTGGTCCCAGGTATTACAACAATTAACAATCACAATTAATAAATTATTCGGATTCACAGTAAATGTTCCTAACGTTAAGGAAAATATGACTGATATTCTAAATTTCACATAATTTTTTGCGGTTTGGATAACATTGCAATGTATACCTTGATCATTTCGAAGCGAAGATTGCTACTAATCATGTTTGAAGATGCTCTCGCTATTTATACTCCCCGAAACCCCTTGGCTACTTTCTAACCCCACCAGTTAGATCGAATTTTGAATAAATAATTATATAATCTGGCCGGTATTTTTTTTTCCTTTTTGATTTTTCCAGTCAATCTGATCATTGCTGATATATTTGACCTATAACGGTACTTGACGTAAAATATTTATGATATAAAAATTACGGTAAATTAAATTAGTTAATTAATTCGTGTCCCTTTTAAATCTCTGTTCTGGTCTTTTTTTAACTACGACAAAGCAAGGTGGTTAACCAGTTAAAAGATCTGTTACGGAACTGACCGGTATTATTTCAAGGCTCGAAAAGTGCAGAACTCTTCCCAACTCTTAAGCTGTTTTAGCATCTTCCGCGGGTCCACTTCACTTATTTCTTTATGCGACATATTCACCATTCCGAAGAGGGGTACATATTTCCGGGCCGAAGTATTGCACAGATAAAAGATATGATCCGGTGTCTCTGCTTCTTCACGACAGATTCGGTAGGTTTCTATCTCAGTTTTTCGATGGCGCAATGAAAAGGGTAGTGGGTAACATAAAGACATTTTATCTTCTTATTTCCTGCTAACTGAGAAAAAGAGGTAGATTTCTGTTTTTCTGAATGAAATATTGGTGAACTTCTTTGATTGTTTCGCATCTAGTGAATTTATCCAGTATGTGGACATTTCTTTCTTCCTCCATTTGTTCAGTTCCGTTCTTAGCATGCTTTGGGGCGAGCCAATTTACGGTTCCGGTCCAATGGATGTGAGGACTGCTCTACCTTCGCTAATTTGTCGACCTGCTCGTTAGCTTCAATCCCCTCGTAACCTGGTACCCACTTCTGAGTTACTTCATTACGTTTTCCAGGAGTTGGTGATACGTTAGGCTTTCCCACATCCGCTTAGAATTGAAGTTGAAGGAGTTTAAAACCTTCAGTGCTGCTTGCCTGTCTGAGAATGGAAAATGGATCTCAGCTTGGAAACTTAATGGCGAGAGAGTAAAGGTTTTGCTGATCGAAATTTGAGCCTTTGACTCCTGCTCCCACTCCAAGTTCCAAATTAGATCAATCTGTATATCAGGATATTACTCTCATATCAGTTTCAGGGTATTTATTCTTCCCAACATCTCTTATTATTTTTATTTGGAAGGATCTGTCAAAGTTTTCATGTAATTTGATTTTGTCAGATAGTTTTGTAGTCATGTCATTGATTTTTATCTGTTGAAGATTTCATCATGTCTTACTCTTGATTTAAGTAATGTTTCATTTTGTCCTAAGAGCCTGTTTGCACTTTCCTACGCCACCCACTAAATGTCCGTATGCAACGTGGGAATCCCAGTGTTACTTCCATTGCTGAAGTAGGGTTGATTGATTGATTGATCCTTTATCATATTTTCTAAGATTTTGGCTATCATGCAAGCCTGAGCATATGTGACCAGAGGGCCATATAGCCAGTAGGCAATTTTCGTATTTATAACCCATATTTTACTACAGAATCTTTGGCCCATACTTGTTATAGCTAAGTACGCCGCTGATCTACCACCTGAGCTATCGTGACATCAACTCCCCATCTCAACCCCACCTTATGAGTTTTCCCTCCTTTTGCCATTTTTCAAATGTCGTGTAATCGGTTTGGATTCTCTACGACAATTGAAATGGCGACGGAGAGCTTTAGTGAAGTGTACTTCATTTTTAAATCATTAATTCACTATTTTCGTGGTCCGCTTGACCAATTAATACATGACAATTAATTAAGGTTTTTAGTTGAGATGAAAAAACGTTAATGGCACGAGAGGGATTCGAACCCACGACCTTCGGCTAGATACGCCGCTGCTCTACCACCTGAGCTATCGTGACCTCGATCCACTCGGACATCAACTCCCCATCTCAATCCCACCTAATGAGTTTTCCCTCCTTTTGCCATTTTTCCAAAATCCAAACCGATTACACGACATTAGCTCAAGTGGTAGAGCAGCGGCGTATCTAGCCGAAGGTCGTGGGTTCGAATCCCTCTCGTGCCATTAACTTTTTTTCATCTCAATTAAAAACCTTAATTAATTGTCATGTATTAATTGGTCAAGCGGACCACGAAAATAGTGAATTAATACTTGTTATAGCCTTCGTTTATTGTATTGTTTTCTTTACACGTTTCTTCCAGATGAGCTTTTGATCTACCATCATTTCTACATACTTCGTTTCCCTGGAGAAAGTATACTTTTATTTTTTGGAAAAAAGATGGTTCGATTTTTTGGGCGGCGCAACTATCGCAAATCGCTTTCCGAACAGGACACGCAATTTTAAATTTGAATGAGCCCGAGGATGTTTTTAGTCGTTAAATGCATTTCGTACAAATTAATGATTTTCGCTAGGTGGATCGTAAACAAAAATTCCATCGTGTATTGTTTTTTATCGTGAAAGTCATCCCGAAACCATCACATTCACATTTGCTGACGATACGGCAATTCTCTCTAGCAACTCCGACCTTGTCATTTCCACTCGAAACCTCCAACAACACCTCATACTACTAGAGTCTTGGTGTAAAAAGAAAAGAATAAAATTTAACACAGACAAATCCACCCACATTACCTTCACTCTTCGTAAAAAGATCTCCCCCCTCTATTTTCTTAAATTATATTCCCCTCCCAACTGCGGACAAGGTGCGGTACCTCGGACTTCATATCGACAAACGCCTGACGTGGAATCATCACACACGACTGAAACGTCAGGAGATTATGACAAGATATAGAGTTCTTGCACGACTTCTTGATAAACGTTCTAATTTACCTCTCATAAAAGACTGCTTTACAACACCATAGTTAAGCCGATTTGGACTTACGAACTGGAAGTGTGGGGTTCAGCCAAACATTCCAACATCCACCGCGTTCAAACTGCCCAATCTTTAATATTACGAAAAATACTAGATGCTCCATTTTATGTTTCGAACCAAACCACACAAACAGATTTAAATAAATTTTCCGTAAATTTCATAAAAACCTCCCAACTAACTTAAATCCGCACATCAGAAATCTCGCATCCCGACGAATCCCCTCAAACCCTCTCCGCCGACTGAAGAGACAATGGCCGCGAGATCTCCTAGGAAGTGATGGTGATGACAGTGAAAGTGATAATGACACACGTATCAATTAAATAAACGATATTATTGTAACATTGGAGTAATGCCAATGAGTGTTTTCTCCACTCTTGATTTTCATTTTGTATATATTACCTTGTTCACTGTTACTTGTTACATACTTTAAGGTAGTTGTAAAGTACTACAAATTTTAAAAAAATCGTGAAAGTTGCAAACGATTAAATTTAAGCTTTAAGAGATCTGTGAAAGTTAATCAAATTATTTCATATAATTCCAAAGGTGTATTGCACAATTGTATAGGTTTGCGACAATCTATAATGGAATACAAATTCATTAAAAATCCACATCAATATAATATCGACACAATTAGCACTTAACTGAAAGCTTCAAAATCCTACTAGCTTTTACTTCAACTGTTTTTTTGTTTTTTTCTGAAACTTAGGGGTGCAATTTATCCACGACCGAAAATTAATATAGTACAGGTAAATTTTACAATACAGTGTGGTTTAAAAAATCGAAAAATTTGCGTACACCGTACTCTATAACCTAGAACCCTTTTCAACGATAAATTGATAGAACTTTGGAAAACCCATTCAGGAAAATTAATTATCAAATTATGCCTGGGAAAAAATAAAATATAAGTCAGACCAAGGCAATTTTATAATATACCAAATTAACTTCTAGATCATGTTGATAAAAGATCTTTTGACGATATATACAGTTGATTTTGAACGCCAACATAAAAACATTGTCTTATTATGTGTTTTTCCAAATAACTATGTTCCTGGTTTACTTTAATAAAGGTAGAGGACATAATCCGATTTACATAATATTTGGCTCCGAACTTGATCAATTCTATCAGCTTGCTTTCGCAGAATAACCTATGGATATGGAACTAAACCATTTTGGTTTTGCAAATTTTGTTTATTGGGACGTTTTTGTTCAAAATCCCAAGACACGTAAACTTTTTATTTTTAATAGTCTCTCATGACCCAAAAGGTTTTAACTATCCAGGATTACGGGGTATGGTATGACATCAACTTCCGAATGTCACTTCACGTCATATGCGTAGCACTTATGTAGTATATTTTTATATAAATGGTTTTTAAAAAACGTGTATAATAATTAACAGACATATCGATGATTTTTGAACGTTCAAATCATCAGACCCCAGTTCGTGGACGAACTTCGGTTATTAAGCTGTGACACTTGATATATTCTGATTCAAAGCCACAAGGAATTTATAAAAGATCGACTTAAATCTACAACTTTAAAAAATCTTAATCATCATAAAGGGTGCGTTTAACTTGTCTCTTCCGCCTTTTTTTTATTGTGGCGTTTTTGTGAAAAATCCTAAAACAATTAGAGAGAAATTCTAATAGAAAAAATAAATTTTAAATAGCAAGGTGTACCCGGCAATGTATGTTTTAAAGGTTTTTTCACGTTGAATTCTGCGTTGCAAATTATTTTTAATTTGGAACCACCGATAAAAAGTTACTCGCAAAAACTTTTTTCCGAACACTGTTTTGAAAATAAACCAAACCATCTACAATTAATCACCATTGTTTATTTTAATGGATAATAACTTATTTTTCATGGTACCGAAAGAAAATTTTGGAACAATTTCATCAATAAAATCAATTAACAGGACACTCTGTATATAGATCATTAAAACGCGATGATCTCCACTTTTTCTTGCAACGTACGTGGCATTTTTATGATTTACTCAGTATTTCGAAGAACTTTCAATTAATTAAGGTTTTTAGTTGAGATAAAAAAGTCAATGGCACGAGCGGGATTCGAACCCACGATCTTCGGCTAGATACGCCGCTGCTCTACCACTTGAGCTATCGTGACTTCGATCCACTCGGAAACTAACTTCCCATGTCAACCCCACCTTTGAATTTCTCCTTTTTGCCATTTTTCACGTGCGTTTGAATCCCGCTCGTGACATTGATTTTTTTTATCTCAACTAAAAATCTTAATTAATTAAAAGATATTAATTGGTAAAGCGGACCACGGAAACTAGTGAATTTCGAATAACGTTAAACTAAACTGCAGTTTGATCAAGCTGATCAATAGTTTTAAACGGTGTGTTAATCCTTCTACCTCTGTTTAGAGGTGCAATTGGTCCCTTTTTATGATTTCAGTTATTTTTGTGGGTTGATGTGTCTCCACTTCGACCTAATAATCCCGCCTTTGAGTAGATGGTCGCTAATTCCATAGCCCAGCCAATTCTGCTGAAAGTCCCATGTTTGTGTAACTTGCTGACCACAGTTGCACATATATTGTTAGTTATTAAATAGTTAAATAGAGACTTTCCTCTATATTTTTTCAATTTTTGGAAAAGGTCGTACTAATGACACACTGAATCTTTTCTTTTCTATCTTTTACAACAACAAAAAAAGTGAATTGATCGCCCCCCCCCATTATTTCTAACACTCCTCTTTTGTTGATACCTGTACTGCCCCAGCTTGTATGATATACATTTGCGTCACAACCAATTATGAACTGGATACTGTTTCATGTCAGTCTTTCCTGATCCTGAGTTGGCTAGTTAGTTACATGGCCAAAAGACCTCTTGATGTGAATTTCGGAATCAAAAGAAATTTTACTATTGTATTTATGAGGACTGCGAAGTAAATCAGTTTACCTATGTTTGGTGTATGCCTTTTACCTCTCCTTGACTTACCAAAGATCAGAAGTAGTGCCATGTCTAAGTTCCCCCTGAGGAAGCGGCATAAACCGCACAAACCGCTGTCAGTGTTGGGTTCATTTGGGCGCATCCGAAATTGGCGGGAATCATCGTATTCCTTTTTTATCGTTGAGGGGACCTTCCTGTCATCAACCAATTGTTTTCTTGCCATCAGTTCTTTGGCTATTCATATTTAAAAGCGGAGGTCGCTTGATTTCCGGAGTTCGTTTATTAAGAATAGATTTCCCTCTGGTCTTGCAGCCGTTAGCTAAGCTATTGAATATGAGGAGGTGTTAAATCGTTAACAACATTTTTTTTTACAATGATTTGTACAATGCCTTGTTCCTTTCCCGTTTTGACTACATTTATGTATTCTACACTTACAGCTAACTAAATGAGAGTAGGACATAAACAAAACAAAGCAAGTGATTTATATTAAGCTCTATTAAGGTAAAAAACGTGATGACAGTGCGTATTTACAATGAGAAATGATGTCAGATGATTTATAGATTTACCAAGCGTGACCCAATCCGTAGGAACTTCCAAGCCCGTAAGAGCCAAGGGAATGACCGAAGGAATGTCCAACTGATCCGAAGCCCAAGCTTCCTCCGCTAAGTTCAGTACCGTAAGAGGCTAATCCGACGCCACCGGCGAGTACTGGGGCGGCGTGAACAACAGGAGCTGCGTGAACAACAGGTGTGGGGTGGACGACTTTGGTAGGTACGGGAACAACGTGAGGAACGGGTACGGAATAAGGTACTTTCCTGGTGACAGTAACGGGGTAGGGTTGGGGAACGGATACAGGGTAGGGTTGAGGTACAGGGACAGGGACTTGGTGAGTGACTGGAACGGGGTATGTGCGGGTGACGGTGACTGGGTAAGGCCTGGGTACGCTTACGGGTACGGGGTGAGCGACGGGGACGTGGACGGGCCTAGGGACGTCGACGGGCACGGGTTGGGGTACCGGCACTTGTTGAGTTCTCGTGACGGTGACTGGCACGGGTTGGGGTACTGGTACAGCAACTGTTTCCTGTCTGTGGTGGACGGTGGATGGTGCTGCGACAGTTGAGACAGTTCCGACTCCAACTCCACCGTAGCCGACTCCAACTCCACCGTAGCCGAGTCCAACTCCACCGTAGCCGAGTCCAGCTGAACCGAGGCCGAATCCAGCGGTACCGACGCCAACAGCGCCTGCACCGTAGCCGAGACCAGAGGCATAACCGAGACCAGATCCACCAAGACCGACTCCACTAAAGCCGACTCCTCCCAGACCATATCCACCAAGACCGACTCCTCCCAAAGATCCTGCTCCGAGTTCGTAACCTCCTAATCCAGTTCCATACCCACCAAAAGTTCCGAGGGATCCGGCGAGACCTCTCTTGGATTGTTTCTTCTCGTCAACGGCGCTGACGCAAAGGACGAAAAGCCCAACTAACAATGCACTCTAAAACAATAAAAGTAGACATTTAATTTATGTTATTTTTAAACTGTTAACATTAAAGATATCTGAAATTAGTTGGTCCCAGGTATTACACAAATAACAATGCATTCTACAACAATTAACATTCACAATTAATAAATTATTCGGATTCACAGTAAATGTTCCTAACGTTAAGGAAAATATGACTGATATTCTAAATTTCACATAATTTTTTGCGGTTTGGATAACATTGCAATGTATACCTTGATCATTTCGAAGCGAAGATTGCTACTAATCATGTTTGAAGATGCTCTCGCTATTTATACTCCCCGAAACCCCTTGGCTACTTTCTAACCCCACCAGTTAGATCGAATTTTGAATAAATAGTTATATAATCCGGCCGGTATTTTTTCCTTTTTGATTTTGTTTATTGACACCAGTCAATCCGAGTATTGACTTAATACATTTGTTTCGGTTAATTAATCGTTTTCAATTTAAAGCTCTGTTCTAATCAATTTTAACTTCCAGAAAGCACGTGGTGTACCATTGCCCTGTGGGCAGTTTGTAAGCGTCCTGTTTAAACCACTTAGAAATAAATGACTGTTAAAGAATCTAATTAAAAAATACGCAACTTACTTATTTTTTGAAAACTTAATGAAAGTCTAACGCTCATTAATTACTACAAGATTAGTTAATAATTAACAGTTTTCCTCAACGTCATTTTTTAATCTTTCATTTTATAGTATGCTTTAAATTGGATAAATATGTATTAATGAGGATTTATAGCATACATATGTAATTAAGAATTGCATTTAATAACCGTTTCTCCATTATATTAGTCCAACGAAAGTGTATGTTAAGTATGTAAATGAATTAACGTGAAACTCGTAAATCTATTTATGACTATAAAACAATACAAAACTGGAATATGCAAAGTAAATATACTTAGTTAATATAATACGTATATATACACCGATTGTTAAATAAATCATTTAATGTTGTCATTATGCACATTGTTCATCGTGCTAAACGTTTTTTCTCAATTATCGGAAAACCTTCACTAGATTCAACACCACCCACCGTAGGAAAATCCCGTCACAAAATATTCGCCATATAGACATTCCAAAGCGCATACCTGCCGTTAAAACATTTTATCAAATTTCTCGTGTCCCCAACAGAATATGAGCAGGATTCTAGTGAAAAAGGGACTCGTGTATTTGTCGTCTTTGAACTTCTCGCTCCCGGTCAAACACAAATCACAGTACCCAGAATTATTGCATTTTACGAGAATATATGGCATTAAATAAATCACAAAGACCAAGAAGTAAGGAATAAACTGTTATTTTTGTTTTATTTATTGTTCTACTAAATAAACATGTATTCAGCAAATAGTATAGTATTGTACGAATTTGCCAGATCTGTCAGACCAGGAGGCAATGTGGAGAGATACCACCCAGAGAACTCTTTTAATAGTTGGGAGGGTTGAGACTGATGAGTGTTTTGTAAGCGAATAGTTTATTATGCAGGCTTAGTGATGATATTGATCCCAGTCATCAGACCATCGTCGTTTTAAGATTGTAATGGTGATACGTTGAGGAAAGAGATAGTGGGTTAGGGTGGAGGGATAGTTAGGGTGGAAATTGAGGAAGCGTTTTCGGATCAGATCCTTCTCGAATGGTGTTTTATGATCTTTATGGATCATTTGATTGATGATGTAGAAGGGAGCATTGAGGATACGGAGGAGAACTTTAGATTGAAAGGATTGAATTCTTTGGATGTTAGAGGATTTGGCCGAGCCTCACAATCCGACTCAGAATGTCCAAATCTGGATCTTCATCCCAGTATGAGTCTAAATAGTCCATATATTATTTAAGTTCTTGTCGTTTTTAATCTTATAAGTGGATTCCACGTATGTCTGCTACCTAAGTAAAGTCCAAAATAGCAGACTTGATGGGATCGTGGAATTACCTTGTGATTTATGTGCACTGGTGAGAAGGTTTGACGTTTGATACGTTAATGTTCCAAATCGGTTAATGAGATTCAGATGTTGTTGGATTGCTTCTGTGTCTACAGTTAAAAATTGAAGGAACTGCCTCCAGCTGACATTGCATTAGCACTTTATATAAACCCGTGTTTTTCGTCCACCCCGCTCTCTTCAGTCTCAGGCCTCGGACGTTCGTTATACATCCAGCGAGTTTCAACACCTTCAGACTTTGTAATTTCAGCTTGTACATTTCCAAGGAAATAAAATTCCTTTTTTTATGGTTATTAGTGTTCTGACCTTATAACTTAGGATAGGAGTGTGTAGATAAGATCTCGGTTTCATCCGCGTAGGTTACGAGTTGTGATATGAGAGTTTGGACGTGTCAGCAGTGTAAATGGTGTAGAGTATTGTACCAAGGTTACGTCCTTATCGAATTGGAGCAATGATTGGTGTGATGGGTGAAAAATCCGAACTGATTCTCACTTTAAACCATCGATCCGAGAGGGACGACTTGAGGATGGGATAGTTGGTGTAAGGGAAGACATGTTTTAACTTGTAAAGTAGACCGGGATGCCACGCTCCGTCGAATGATTCCGTAACGTCCAGAAATACGGCTGAGCAATATTGTTTGGTTTTTAGAACCGAGGATATCGGGTCGACTACTCTGAAGCACTGCTGAACAGTAGAATGGCGAGGTCGGAATCCAGGGTTAGGATGTTGGTTGGAGGGAATCGTGCCTGTTATCCCTGACTCTGTAAACCTATTAGGCGTCTTTATTGAATTTTATTTGACATGGAAAATCCACTGTGATATGCTAACCAAAGTTTTAAATATTTATTAAGGAGTAGAAACAATAATATGACACAAAAAAACAATAAGTTTCCTATTCTGCAATTTGTGATAGTAAATAAGATACGCTATCTTGCATATTGAGTAGCTCATCACACATGAACAAGAAGCTACAAAGAAAGGGAGTAAGTATAATCAGTAGGCTCAATTTAGAGGATTTTGTATTTAGACAGTTCACTCGATTTATATAGTACAATAGAATGTTATATAAATTATTAAGAAGAGAATTAAATTTGAATTAATTGAGAGAATTAAAAAAAATAATTAAGTTTGACTTAATTGATAAGTGATAATTTTACTAAAACGAAAGAATTATCAGTTATGACAAAAAACTAGGGTAACCTAAGTGTTCCTTATAATAAAATAGAAAAAAGTAGTTTTGGTATAAATTACCGTTGTATATTATTTTATAAGTACCTGAAAGTTATTAAAAATTGAATTTTACTGCATTTATAAATAAAGTCTGAAAATTATTGATATCGCAAGTGTTCTATAGTAAAGGGAAATTTTTTAAAACTTTAAGTTTTAACTAAGGGATGAATCACATTCCTGAACCCGACAAAGTTATATTTACGACTTACATTTGATAGGACTTACTTGAAATCCACACACACTATTAAAGAACAGACAATTAACAAACGATTTAAAATTACCTATTAAACCACCAATCAAAATTACCATTAAAATCAAAACTTTCGACATAACGATTTAAAATGCTTTATTGCCTATTGAACCACCAATCAAAATTACCATTAAAATCAAAACTTTCGACATAACGATTTAAAATGCTTTATTGCCTATTGAACCACCAATCAAAACTACCATCAAAATCAAAACTTTCGACATATTCAAACGGTCTGAATGCTATGTTTACGGGTCGACCAAATATTCCCATATTCAAAGATTACAAAGTTTTCAATCAAAGATTTTACGTCTAATTGTCATTTCACAGAGATATTCACATGTGTGTTTTCGTGCATGAAAACCTATTACAAACGTGTTCACAGTAAATTACAAGATCGTACTAATACACAAATACCTCCATGTCGTCGACGCCTGAAAAAAATATGCGTAAGAGACCTCGTATCTTATTAATTCATAGCGGCTGCCAATGGGTAGCTTCCTCTTAACGCCAATTAATGTCACATGTCAAAATTAAATCCAATCTGCTGGTTGTGTGTAATTCATATATTGTTGTAGATATAAATAAATTAAGTTAAAAAAAAGTTTTAACTGACATGACAAAAACCAACAATTTTTACGTAATGTAAAATTTATATTGAAAAAGTATTTTTGTTCAAAATGAGATGATGTATCTACCTACTTGGTGAACAACTTGGACAAAAGGTTCTTCGGTGAGTTCACGACAGAAACAATTCTTTAAGTTTTTCCGAGCTTTCGACGATTATATCGTCATCATCAGGGCCTTAACTCGATGAGTGATGAAATATATATTGAGAGCAAGAAACTGCTTTTATAATAAAATTAATTAAAATTAGGTGAAGCTCAGTATCTTGGTTAAACATAACTTAAGTACAGGTCTCTTATTCTTAAACTAAAATATAATTTTTTTTTCCTCAGGTACATTAGAATATCACAGTTGAGATTAGTTAAGCTTTTTTCTGAATTGTACTATATATAGATAACTCAAAATAAAAGTGCCAACTTATACCACAAGGGAGAGACATGAGGCTCAGGTGGCTTTTCCGTTACAAGTTCACTTGTGCCTTGTAGTATAAGTTGGCACTTTTATTTTGAGTTATCTATAAAATTCAAAAAAAGGCTTAACTAATCTCAACTGTGATATTCTATTGTACCTGAGGAAATAAAAGTAATTTTATTATTTATTTTAAGAAAAACAGATTTATTATTATTCCGTAAATTAGAATATTTATTTCAATGGGCAATTTGAAGTAAATACATACGTACAAAGTTCAATGTAAAAAGAATAGTTGTAACATATTGTCCAGGTAAATAAGGTTATATGAAGTAATTAATGTTTAATACATTAGAAGTAGAGTCAAATTAGTAATCATTATATTTCATATTAGATGTAAGAATGGTCATTGAGACCAAATCATGTGTGATTGATAAATAAAGCGTTCATCATCATCTTNTTGGCACGATAAAGAAAATGTTTTTCTGAAACCTACATCACAGCAGACCGCATCTCACGATTTCTAAATAAATATCGATTAACGGCCACTAATCACCATACATATCTATATTTAGATATATATATATATATATATATATATATATACCTATCTACCGCTCTCTACAGTGTTCTGTGGTGAGAAGGACTTTCATGGGCCTTCTAAGGTTTGTACCTCACCGTCTTCTTCTTACACTTGACTATTGGCATTGAGATTTATTCCCTCCGAATACCAGCGATCGATTTTTTAATGCCAGAAACTGTTGAATTGCAATCCTGATGGCGTACATTTTACTTAAACGGTCGTCTATGGTACTGATGATTCTGGGACCCTTTGAATTTAGCCTTCTCGAGTAACCCCCAGTCTCCCTGTACCTTTAACGGCCCTTGAAACTGACAATAATTAATGTCAAAGCGATGACTTCCCTTATTCGTTGAAAATGATGACTCTGACTGATTCATCGCGGCCTAAACGACTAATTAACACAAACAAAATTAACAGAGTAAAGGAAGCTGAGAGAAATTGCTACTCCGGGCTAAAAAAAGTTAAATATTTACTGAAAGAAACACCCCACTCTGTCTCATGGTATAAATAATAATACTTTAAATTGTCTATTTTATTTTAGTTTAAACAAAACGTGGGATAAGGTCAAAAACTAAAATATATCGAGATTATAGGTGAAGCAATATTTTTGTCGGGGAATGTATTTAACATATGGTATTGTGGTCTTTTCGGATAAATTTCTTCCTATGCTTGCTTCCAAATGGGAAAGACTCAAGAAGCTAAATTACCATTTATTTATCGTTAGCTCATTTCTGGCCCTACAATGCGGCCAAAAGGTAAAAAATGTTTTCCTGCATGCTTCCTAAGCCTCCTTTTTTAATTGATTTTTATAATTTCGAATTAAAATAAATATTTAACGTCAAAAAAATTGAACATCAAACCTAGCCATCGAAATTTAAATAAATGATTTATTCAGTAGACTTTTATGATATTACACATTGTAAAAAATTAAAAAATTGAAAGATAATAATTTTTTTTTAAATATTCAGATAATATAAGAAAATTAGTAATTTCATAGTATTAACTTAGTTGGGGACCGCGGTGATCGATTGGTAGGGCGTCCGTCGAGAATTTGCCATGTTAGCGATTCTGTGTTACGATCCCGTCTTGGCCCATAGATTTTTATCTGAATAGAATGAAAATATATAAAACAGTAAATGTTTTGGTCCAGATTCAGACCTCCATCTTGTCTGTCCGGAGCTATCGACAAGGCCATTTCCTCCCAGCGCAATCAGTTTTTAACATTAACACACTCTTACTTTAACATATTCTTAAATGCATTCTTATTTTACATACCATTCACTCAAATACGGCAACGGAATTTTTTCATCACCCTTTACATATATTTGTAATGACTATACATACATAAATTATTTTAATTGAGGGCCGATGGGTACTTGATATTCCAAGCAAATTGACGCTTAAATACTTTCTCACCACAGTTGCCATAATTTATAACTATCACCAAACTTTTTATAGAAAAAATGATATAATTGACTACATATTAAAAAACATATGTTTCGTCCAAAATTTGATGCTGTACTCGAGCACAATTCTCAAACCGAGTGTCAGTCCTATTCGCTCTGAGCGTTAGTGGGTTACATTGAGCAACGTTTTCTTTATGCACAAAATTAAGTGTCTGTGTGCTTGACCGATTCTAAGTTGTTAGTTTTTTCTTTTTTTTCCCAAGGATTCAGGGACCGAGAAAGGCGGGAGAAAAAGCGCCGTTGTCCCGTCAGGACATAACATAAAGAAAGCTTTACATATGTATTAGAAAGCTTTGTATATTTCTATATGTAAATATGTATGTACAATAAAAAATTCTTAATTCCCCTAAAAAGCTGAACAGGGGCTCCTGAAACTCGCTACCGTGTCCGAGAAATTCTTAAATCCAGCGGCATACCTACACGCTCTCTGTATGGAGCCAAGGCATGACAAGCCTCTATTATGTGGGACACATCGAGCAACCGTTTTCTGCATAAGGGGCACCTGGGCGGGCTTTGGCCCAAAAGCAGGTGCCCGTGTGTCAACCGCGTATGGCTAATCCTCAATCGGGTGAGAACGATTCCTCGAGTCCTGCTCAGGTACTCCGAGCGCCACAGATCGTGTTCTTGACTCGCAAGAAGCTACATATTTTGTTGTAATTATTTATTGTAAATTTTAGCTAAGCTTAAAAACTGACTTTCTTCCAGTTCTGCCAGTTACTCTGCTTCATTACATTAAAAGCGTGTTAAACAGCTTTAAAAATTTCAGTCTGTTTATAACATTATTAATCTTCACACATGAAAAGTAGAAATTTATTAAAGTTGAATTTAACCAAGGTACAAAATATACAAGATCTCTCATTTTTTATTAACAGTTATGTTTAAACACAATATTTTTCATAAGGCTGGTTACTTAAGTCGTCCGAACAACAAAATACGTTATTTACAACAAATTAAATTAAGAGTAAACATACTCATGCAATCGACCAGTAGGTGCAATGAGGAGTAACTGTACAGTTAATTTAATATAAACTGATCAATTTTATTGTGGGGTATTTTTTCTTTATTCCAGTTGAAGAAAACAATTTCAATTTGATCAGTTCTGACCACTTTATATTAGTAATTAAATGTATTTATTTAATGCATTATGTCACTGTAACGTAGTAGGTATATGTTGTATAATAACGTTAATATTCTCCAAAAACGAAAGGCATCAAAGGTCAAACAGGCGGTCGCTAAACGGTAACAGTCCAGTCCACCCGGGATGTCAAACATAAATTGATACTCAGTTCAAATTATGTAATTGTTTTATGCGAAAAATTGCTCGAATCAGTGGGGGTAGAAAGTGGATTTCGACTTGTATAAAAAGCAGGAGCATCCTCAAATTTTATCATTATCAATCTTGCTTCACAATGTTCAAGGTACCGTTTTAAACTGTTTCAAACATTTTAACAAAATACAATGTAGAGTTGTATTACAATTTTTCTACTACTCATTCCTAATATATAGTTATATATTTGAGTAATAAAATGTTATCTGATTTTAATTAATTTTAATGAAATAAAATTTAATAAGTAATAAAATTAATGTTAGCAGTTTGACAATAACTTATATTAAATGTCTACGTTTATTGTTGCAGAGTGCATTATTAGTTGGGCTTTTCGTCCTTTCCGTCGGTGCTATTGACGAGAAGAAACAATCCAAGAGAGGTCTCGCCGGATCCCTCGGAACTTACGGTGGGTATGGAACTGGATTAGGAGGTTACGAACTCGGAGCAGGATCTTTGGGAGGAGTCGGTCTTGGTGGATATGGTCTGGGAGGAGTCGGCTTTAGTGGAGTCGGTCTTGGTGGATCTGGTCTCGGTTATGCCTCTGGTCTCGGCTACGGTGCAGGCGCTGTTGGCGTCGGTACCGCTGGATTCGGCCTCGGTTCAGCTGGACTCGGCTACAGTGGAGTTGGCCTCGGCTATGGTGGAGTTGGACTCGGCTACGGTGGAGTTGGAGTCGGCTACGGTGGAGTTGGAGTCGGAGCTGTCTCAACTGTCGCAGCACCAGCCACCGTCCACCACAGACAGGAAACAGTTGCTGTACCAGTGCCCCAACCCGTGCCAGTCACCGTCACGAGAACTCAACCCGTGCCAGTACCCCAACCCGTGCCCGTCGACGTCCCTAGACCCGTCCAAGTCCCCGTCGCTCACCCCGTACCCGTAAGCGTACCCAGGCCTTACCCAGTCACCGTCACCCGCCCGTACCCTGTTCCAGTCACTCATCAAGTCCCTGTCCCTGTACCTCAACCCTACCCTGTATCCGTTCCCCAACCCTACCCCGTTACTGTCACCAGGAAAGTACCTTATTCCGTACCCGTTCCTCACGTTGTTCCCGTTCCTACCAAAGTCGTCCATCCCACACCTGTTGTTCACGCAGCTCCTGTTGTTCACGCCGCCCCAGTACTCGCCGGTGGCGTCGGGTTATCCTCTTATGGAACTGGACTTAGCGGAGGAAGCTTGGGCTTTGGATCGGTTGGTCATTCGTTCGGTCATTCCCTTGGCTCTTACGGTCTTGGAAGTTCCTACGGATTAGGTCACCCGTGGTAGATCTAAGAACCAATTGATGTATCATCATTGTACATATGTCATCACGATTTTTTTACCTTAATAAATTTTAATATGTATATTTCTACATCTTTTATTTTCCCGATATTTAGTGAAAGTTTTATAACTAGGAGACAAAGAGACAGAGTAGCCTGTTGAAGCAAGTTATCTGTATAGAAATCTCCTTTGAATTTAGAGATTAATTGAGTAAGTACAATTTTGGTTTGTTTTTTCATTTTTACGTCGTACATTGATACATTTTTTTATTCAGATCAGATCTAGGGCCCATTTATTCTCATTTATGACATTTTTCTCCCGACGCCCAGGGTACAGGGAATTTCAATAACAATTACCTATATCGGTGTATCTTTACAGTTATACGTTCCGTGTATCGTTACAGTTTTGATATTAATTATTGTAGATAATTCTACCATTCTTGTTTCCCTTTCATTTAAAAAAATAAAATAAAATAAATACAGCAAAAAAATTCTGTTCAAATTGCATGGATTCAATTAACTGATTGTTGCGAGTTGATATAACATGGGTCTTTAGATTTACTTATTTACGGTAATCTATCATGGTTTCATTTTATCACAAATTTTGACACACATGACATTTAATACATAAATCAAATGCTTATTATACAACTCAAGTTTTTCTATTAATTCAATTCAATAAAGTAATTCTAAACCATTATGTTTGAAGAGCCCGGTTTAACACGTCTTTAACTCAGTCAATTTTAGACGAAGGGCAAGAAAAAAGTTCCGTTTTAACTCAAGAGTTAATTGATTGAGTCATTTGACTGTCTCGTTTAAATTGGGTTAAACTTCGGGCGGATCTCTTCGCCTTTCGAAAACAGCATTTAATTGAGCGAGACAACTTGTTAGTAACTTCACGTTAATTTGCCTATTATCGTTCAGCATCGCATCCCCCTGGTACAAACGCCGGCAATGCTAAGTGGTTTATAACTCGTTTAAGTCAAATTTGAAATGAGGCTTCGCATTATTGGACGGAATTATGATGCTATCCGTTGTTCAAAAAGTTCTTTTGGCTGATCACTTCAATTTTTTTTTTTTTTTGGCTTGAATGAACTGGAGGATAGAAATTGAAAAAGGAGAAATGAGTCTACGCGTTCATTTTCATTTCAAATTTTAGTGGGGAAAAAAAATATTGTTTTAATTATTCTATGAGCGTTCACTAGGAATAGCTAAAAATATGTTTTTAAGGTAATTAAATTTTTACTTCCTATTGATCTCTTGAAACTAGCTTATATATATTCTGCCACTAGGTCAAGCATTAACAAATGTACCTGCAATTAAAGGTCAAACGATGATCACGTATGATTTTTCTTTGAACACAATCTAACGCATATCGAAAATATATATCTTTTAAAAATATTTAAAGCTCAAAATTCCTAGTTAATTATTAACGATTATTCAGAAATCGTGAGATGCGGTCTGGTGTGATGTAGGTTTCAGTAAAACATTTTCTTTGTGGTGCCAACGTTTCGATCTTTATTGAGATCATCTTCAGCCGAACCATTACCAATGTTTTTCCCATCGTCGGCTCTAAAATGGTTTATAACGGTTTAGGCCTTGATACGGCGCTCATCACTGTAAGGTAAAGTCCCGGGTTCGAATCCAGCAGCCCTGCGTTCGAACCCGACATACTTACAAATGGGCTTTTTTTTCAAAAACACCGGCACCGTGAGGATCCATGATATGGATTTTTTTTTAATTTATCCTCAAGTTACATAAAATAGTATATTTATTGAAGTAATCCTCTACAATGAACTTGGTTGGGAGGCAAGAAACGCTGTTATAACTGGCATTAGGTATTGGCTAAAGATCATTAGGGCCGATTCGACCCCTCGAATAGCCATAGCCTAGACGACCTTCAATGTCCTTCGAAAAAATGATAAAAAGAAGGGCTGAGAGAACTACCTTGTTTCACTCCCACATTCATACTGAACACTGTGCATCCTTAGAGGAAACATAACCCACTGTAGACTAAGTAAGATCTTTATAGACCGGACAATCTTTGAAGAGACAACCAAGTTGCGGAGTTTAAACAAAAGAAAATGCCCATCTACATAGCCAAATAAAGCAGCAGAAAAGTAGACCTTTTCAACCTAAGGTTCTACAAATTAAGCTTAATATTCGCAATTTGTTGTTACTATCGGTTATATAGTTGGTCTGATAGTATCGGGGGCCTCTAGGAAGAAAACAATTCTTTGTCGAGCTTTCCGCAATATTGACAGCCTTCGTCAATTCATATTAAACATTCTATAAAAATTAATCTGCGGCTTCATGCGCCGGAACGCCGGAATTGAAAATTAATTAATAGAAATGTAACATTTATTGCTGGTCAATAAACACTAGGCTGAAATTTGAAGTTCTCCAAATGTTGTAGAATGGACCATGAAGTTGGTAGAATAAACGTTAAAACTTGAATAAAGTTTATGTTGAAAATCTGTATATAATTTTAGAATACATTTGTAAAATTCAAATCTTTATTGACAAAGTTTAAATTGGGTTTTCTAACTTGGTTTCTACTTCTAATTTGGCTTCTGAAGTAGAAAAGTTGTTACATCTACAAAACTGCCCTTCTCTTACATATAGACTGGTTTAAAAGAGGGCAAGTATGTATATATAAATAAATATGACTTATGATGGGACTGTGAAATGTTTATGGAATCAATAATAAAACGCGTAGGAAAATCCATAATACATGGTGACAAGGACTCATAACTAATGTTGTAATATTGGGTTGGTGCAAAATTAATGCAGGTTTTGAAAATTTGTTTTATTTTCGCAGTTTCTTGTCATGTAAACAAAGCAAAATCCTCAAATCTAATTTATGGATTATAAAAATTTAATCTTTTATACAAAACGTTTTAGTTTATTCACTAGTTTTCGTGGTCCGCTTAACGAATTGAGATCTTTCAATTAATTAAAGTTTTTAGTTGAGATAAAAAAGTCAGTGTCACGAGCGGGGTTCGAACCTACGACTTTCGGCTAGATACGCCTCTACAACGCGACAAACGAAGTCACGATAGCTCAAGTGGGAGAGTAGCGGCGTATCTAGCCGAAGGTCGTGTGTTCGAATCCGGCTCGTAACACTAACTTTTTTATATCAATTAAAAACCTTAATTAATTGAATGATATTAATTAGTCAATCGGACCACGAACTGTAATGGATTTAATAATTAAAATGAAGTATATCTTCACTAAAACTCTTCGTGGCCATTTCATTTGCCGCCGAGAATCAAATAGATTACACGACATTTGAAAAATGGCGAAAAGGAGGGAAAATTCAAAAGGTGGGGTTGAGATGGGAAGTTAGTGTCCGTGGATCGAAGTCACGATAGCTCAAGTGGTAGAGTAGCAGCGTATCTAGCCGAAGGTCGTGGGTTCGAATCCCGCTCGTGACACTGACTTTTTTATATCAACTAAAAACCTTAATTAGTTTTAGTTTATATTGAATTTTATAAGAGCGAGCACCTGCGAAATTAAGTATGTCCAAACTAGATTTTCGTCAAATTTATCTGTACGAATATAAACTTGGGCGAAGTATGGCCCAAACCACACATAACTTCAATACAGTATGTGGGAGGGAAGCATTAGCGAATTCACAGTGTAGCAATTGTTTCAGAGATTTTGATCTCGAAGTCAGGGGAAATCACAGTAGGCACAGCAGGCCATGTTCCCATCATCGTGGGCGATGACCAACTCAAAAAGTTGATTGAAGAAAATTCAAGTAAGACAACATGGAAAATTGCGGAAATGCTTAGAGTTGATCACTCAACCATTGTTCGGCATCTGGAGCAACTTGGTAAAGTAAAGAAGTCCAAGTAAGGCACGAACTATCCGAAGCCCAAAGAAACCGTCGTTTTGAAATTTGCACATCTTGAAACTTGGTTTCGCCACCAAATCTATTTTCCGATCGAATCATCACGAGTGATGAAAAACGGATTCTGTACGATAACAGGAGACATACAGGTCAGTGGCTGGACAAGGATGAAGCGCCAAAACACTTCCCGAAACCAAAAAAGATTACGGGGACCGTTTGATGGTGTACTGCTGGGGGTTGTTCGTGAACCTTACCGCACCCTCCATAATCACCCGACCTCTCGCCTACATACTTCCACTTTTTTAGGCATTTTGGTCACTTCATGAGGGATACAATTTTTATAGAACGCGGTGAAGCTGAAACCTCCGTCCAAGACTTTACTGTGATTCAAAATAAAGATTTTTATGTCAACGGAATAAAAGCCCTTAATACACGTTAGCAGATATACAGATTGTTATGGGAAATATTTCAAATAAATTTTCTTTATATTATAACAATTAAAAATATTTTTGACTGCCTTTTCAAAACCGGCATTACTTATGCAACAGCCCAATAGTAATTTTGATAATACATTAAACACCGAATCACCACTTGGCTGTTGAGAAGGTTTTATGATCGACAGACCTTCCTTTCGCACCTAAGAAGAGATCAAAAGAGGGCGAGTATTAAAAAGAAATGGCTGATCAGATAAACTGGATCCACCCTCCACAGCGTGTTTGAACGTCCAATACCACTATGAGAAAAAGCCATTTGCAATATAATAGCAAGGAACATTGCATTTAAAAACAGTGAAACAGGTTTCCGAACAATTCAATTTGCACGAATTGCGCTGTTTTCACGGCCTCCTTTCTGGCAAAGCTTGCCCAATGGGAAAGAACATTACATTCTTTAATTAAACGCTCTCTTTTATTCTACTTTCAATGTTATAAAAACGGTAATACAAAAAAACCTATCTGCCCACCGTTCCATTGCAAAATCTCGAAAGGTCAACCAGCCGGTCAGTTACAGTTGAAAAAATGAGTCCGGCGGTTAATTCGTTCAATGCAAAATCCATTCGGAATGCACATGACCCGAGTGAAATCTATGATGGTCGTAAAGTGCGATCTTTTCTGCAAATATGGTGGCGATAAAAGGAAAAAAATGAGACCTAGTTATTATGTAACAAGTTTTGTAGATCAGTTTCGTATTTGTGCATGGGATGGTAGGGGTAGAAAGTTGTAAGGTGGATGGATCTTCATTGGGTATAAAAAGAATCTGTGTCTGAAAATGCAGTCATACAATCCACCAATTCACAATGTTTAAGGTACAGTTGTCCATGGTTTTTCATTCACAACTATCACCTAGCATAATGGGAATATTTACCTAATAGTTTTAACAAAACTTTTTCTAACTATTGCGTTTTAAACAACAATATACAATAATACATTGTATGATTCACAATTCCAGTGACAAGGAATAAAAAGAAAATTATTTTGACCCTTTTGATCATTTCTGGTGCATGAAACTTGTGAATTTAAGTTTTTATAAATTTTTAGACAAAACCTATTTATTATTATAATTTAATAAATTTTATACTGACACTAATAATATTAATCTTGATTATAGTTTTTAATGTTAGATGTATATTAAGTAGGAATAGGTTATTTTATATTGATTTGTATTTATAACAAAATTAATCTCGCATATTAGATTTATATTTAATCGCATTTCGAAAATTGTATTACTTTTTGTGGTTCACAAGTTTTCGTTTTTTGATTTTCAATATTAACAAATTTTAAAAGATTACATATTACCATATACCTAAATTAATGTTTAATAATTGTTTATTTGAAAATGTACAATAGTTGAAGTAATGTTATTTTTATCTAGATCGCTGTATTCGTGGGACTGTTTGTTTTGTGCGTGAGTGGAGCTGAGGAGAAGAAGAAACGTGGTCTTGTCAGTTCTCTAGGCGACTTCGGAGGCTATGGCTCAGGATTAGCGACACACGGTGCGGGATTTGGAGGTTACGGTTTAGGATTTGGAGGCTATGGTTCCGGATTGGGAGGTTACCATGGCTTAGGATTAACAAGCTATGGTTCAGCGTTGGGAGGTTATGGATCTGGATTTGGTGGTTACGGCCTTGGTGCCGGAAGTCTCGGATATGGAGGAGGCGTTCTTGTTGGATCGGGTCTCGGCTACGCACGAACCGTTGGATATGGAGTCGGATCGGTTGTTGGCCCGGCAGCTACCACTGTTAACCATAGGCAAGAAACTTTCCCAGTTGTTGTACCTCACCCAGTCCCTGTCCCTGTAACTAGGACCCAACCCGTACCAGTCCCTCACCCGGTTCCTGTAGATGTACCTAGACCTGTGAAAGTTTCTGTCCCTCAGCCTGTTCCCGTCGATGTCCCTAAGCCTTATCCCGTCACCGTTACTCGTCCCGTCCCTGTTCCTGTAACTCATAAGGTCCCTGTTCCGGTCGAAAAACCCTACCCGGTGCCGGTCCCTCAGCCCTATCCCGTGACCGTCACTAGGAAAGTACCCGTCTCTGTTCCGGTACCTCATGTCGTCCCTGTGCCTCAACCTGTCGTACACCACACTCCAGTCGTCCATCATGCGCCAGTGCATGCCGTCGTTGCTCACCCAGTGTCTGCTGTCGGATTTGGGTCATTCGGAGACACCGTAGGGTTCGGATCTGTTGGAAACACACTCTCTCACTTCGGTGGTGTTGGACTGGGAGGACACGGATTCACTGGTTCCCTTGGACATTTTGGATTATCCGAACCGGCTTGGTAGAGAAGGATTTTAAATTCATCTATCTATACTTCATTGTATATACACATCTCCATATTTGTTTTTATCTTATTAATAAAGTTGTTTTCATTATAATCTCTGTCTGTTTACTTTTCACAATAATCTAAACAAAATGAATGTTGTTAGTTGGTCATTTGACACGATTATCAAGGATATGTAGACCAAAGTGATGGGAAACGACACGTTCGTCATGCCGCGGACCCCCAGACGAAATCCCACTACCTATGTACGTTGTTCAAGCTGATGCACTTACTGTTTGACAGAAATCGATCATCTTGTTGGAGTATTTGTACGTTGAACTACAATTGCCTTTATTATCCTTACATAAATGTTTACCAAAGGTAAGCAGTCATAAAAATTTTTTGTATGTTTTCTATCAACAATTTTGTTTCAGTCGGAAAGAATTTGGATCGTCTGGTAACAAATGAAGAAAAAATTAAATATGTTTTTAAAATATGAAAATTTATCATTTTTGAGCATATATTGAAGTCTATATTAACCTTTAATTTGCATATCAGCGTATAATGTCATTTATCAAATAATACAAATATTTCTAAAAGAAGACAATGTTTATAATTTATGAAAGATTCTAACCAATTGAAATTCTGAATGATATATATTATTTATTTATCGTGTGTTGCGAACCACGACCGTGTCGTTGTATTTCGCACAAGTCTTTTATTTCATAGATGTAGACATCTAATCCCATACAATCCCAGGTGCCACTACCCTAAGAAAATATTCAATAATACAATATTATACAAGTGGACCACTTTTCAAACTTAAAACTCCAAACCTGAACTCACTTGCGCGTTGCCATTTTCGAAACTGGGACATTCTTTCGCATCATCTTTCGCCCACTTCATGGAGGATTATGCTTGTGCAACATAACGCCAGTAACCCACATTCTTAACAGATCCAAGATTTTATTTTGGTTTTTTTAAACCTCTTCCAATAAAGAGTCTGTAGCCAAGGGCGAGAGGAAAACCAAACGGCTAACGAGCTGTTTCGTAGACGTAATAATGAAAGAGATCTTTCTAAAAATGTATGAGTCACTAAGAAATAAAGTGATCTTTTAAAAACTGTATGACTATGTGACTAAGAAATAAAGTGATCTTTTAAAAATTGTATCAATATATTTTTTAATCAAAGCCAATACGAGTTTCTTTAGGAGGCATGTACCAAAGCTGAATGATAAGAACAAAAAAGGAAGCTTCGGTGGTTGGCCGCAAAGGTTAAGGCGTGGTTGTTTAAGACCCTAAACTGTAAGGTAAAGGTCTCAGGTTCGAATCCAGCGGCCCTGCATTCAAACCGATAAACTTACAAATAAGCTTTTAAAAAAAGCCTATTTGGTTTTAATATTTTCCCACGCAAAAGCCCTATCTACACCGGCACCCCGAGGGTTGATATGACTTCTGCTGTTGGTAACCATTTTTTTTTTCTTTTTACGAGGGTTCCAACAGCAGAGGTTTTATCAACCCTCGGGGTGCCGGTGTAGATAGAACTTTTGCGTGGGAAAATATTAAAAACCATTGTTAAAAATCAAAAAGTTCATATTTGCTACATTAATGATTAATTTTGAGTTTTTGTCTTAGATGTGTATACACAGTCGTCGTTTTGTTGGGATCTCCTTTCTGCTTTCAGCCTCACTTAAGAAAAGTTAATAAACTATAACTGGAACCAATCTAACTGTGTACAATTTAGAAAGATAATAGTTCAGAAATAAAAGACTTAATCTATACTCTAATGGTCTTAATAATAACATAAAGGAATTAGAAAACATTATTAGAGCAGCTGCTGTGGCATCTATACCAAAATGCGCCCCTCCTAACTGTATACCAGAACTCCCAAAATTCTTAATGTTCTTGCTTAAAAATAAATAAGGTGAGCTTACCAAGAAAAAATGTCAATACAAAAAAAGCTCGAAACAAACTAACTTCACATTTAAATGACCCGGTGTCAACACCTTTTTGTGTGCCGGATTGCTGGGGGATGGTTTGCGCCAAAAGGAATGGTCGAAGAATCTGACTCGTAGAAGAAGGGTTATACTCACTCGATTAGAATAGGCCATGTGAGGTTGATACAATGACACTTACTTGTGTCCAAAGATGGCATGTAGAGAAAGGTTGCCCGATGTGACCCATTTAATTGAAACCTAGAGCACAACCTCGAGGGCTGGACTGATAAGATGGAGGACTGTCCCCAGACTACCAATACCCCCAATATATTGCATGTACATGTATATATGTACATGTGTACACAGATTTGAGATTATATTAGTCCCTAATAAAAATAGTTAAGAGTAAGATAATCAATGTAACCAACAATAAATTATAATCCTTTCTAAAAACATAGTTCCTACTCACAGTAAGTAGTACTTACTGCACTCACTCCATCATTCATCATTTCCATAAATTATAATTGTATCAATTCTTCTAATGTTATATTGGCCGACTTTCCAGAGGGCAATGGCCATGGAAATAAAATATACTATAGTATTTATTTTTTTAATATTGTAAATGTAAATATGTATTGCGTATTTAGCATTAGTTACACTCATTTAGCAGTTGCTCGATAAAGTGTTAACTTGTTTTCCTCCAACTTGTGTATCATCTTTTTCCATAGTGATGGTAAGAAAAGAACCACATAGTTCTTCAGCAGTGTAGGTGAAAATTTCTTGCTTTTGATTTAGAACGATTTAGTCATCACATTCATCTACATGTGGTAATAACATCTAACCTTAAATAAGTTTTTAAAAAACATGATTTTCTTATAATTTGGTATTATGTAAAAGGAAACAAAACAATATGGAAAACTTTATTACAAAGATTACATACTTTAGGAAATACACAATTATTATTATTATTCATTACAATACAGACTGTTTTAGTATAGTTTCAACGGTGTTTTCCATCACTTTGTACCTAGCTTTAGCAACATTCTCCGTTGCTCCATCATTAGTGTGCCTCCTGGTTTCTGTACAACTTTTAGATCATCTTTTTCCATAATGATGGTAAGAAAAGAACTACATAGTTCTTCTGCAGCAGTATAGACGAAAAGCTTGCTTTTGATTTGGAGCGATTTAGTCGTCACATTCATATACACATAGTGAAAACATCTAACCTAAAAAAGACTTAAAATTCATGATTTTCTTGTATTTGGGTATTATTTAAAAGGAAATAAAACACTATATAAAACTTTATTACAAAGATTACAACTTTAGGAAACACACAATTATTTTTATTTATTGCAATACAGACTATTTTAGTATAGTTTCAACTGTGTTTTTCATCACTTTGTACCTAGCTTTAGCAACATTCAGACATTCATTTAGCTGTTGCTCTGTCATTAGTGTGCCTTCTCGTTTCTGTACAACTTTTATATTATATTTTTCCATAATGATGGTAAGATAAGAACTTCATAGTTCTTCTGCAGCAGTATAGGTGAAAAGTTCTTGCTTTCGATTTGGAGCGGTTTATAGTCATCACATTCTTCTACACATAGTGATAACATCTAACCCTAAATAAGACTTAAACGTATGATTTCCTTGTATTTGGGTATTACTTAAAAGGAAAAAAAAAACAATATGAAAAACTTTATAAAACTTTATTACAAAGATTACAACTTCAGGAAATACACAATTATTATTATTTATTACAATTCACTGTTTTAGTATATTTTCAACAGTGTTTCCATGACTTTGTACCTAGCTTTAGCAACATTCAGACATTCATTTAGCTGTTGCTCCATCATTAATGTGCCTCCTCGTTTCAGTACAACTTTTTATCATATTTTTCCATAATGATGGTATGAAAAAGAACTACTTAGTTCTAAAGCAGTATAAGCGAAAAGTTCTTGCTTTTGATTTGGAGCGATTTAATCACCACATTCATCTACACATAGTGAAAACACCTAACCTAAAAAAGACTTAAAAACCATGATTTTCTTGTATTTGGGTATTATTTAAAAGGAAATACAACAATATGAAAAACTTTATTACAAAGATTACAACTTTAGAAAATACATTATTATTATTATTTATTACAATACAGACTGTTTTAGTATAGTTTCAACTGTGCTTTCCATCACTTTGTACCTAGCTTTAGCAACATTCAGACATTCATTTAGCTGTTGCTCCATCATTAGTGTGCCTCCTCGCTTCTGCACAACTTTTATATCATCTTTTTCCGTAATGATTGTAACAAAAGAGCCACAGAGTTCTTCCTCTTCACGATTCGGGTCTGCAAAAACAAATTTCTGGAAGAGTCCGAAAGTCGTGGCTAACGGAAATTTTCCCACCGGTATGGGCGACAGGTTCTTGCTTTTGATTTGGAACGATTTAGACTCGACGTCGTATGATATCTCCGGCAGCTTGAGAGACTTAAGTGCCAGGTACATGGCCAGCACTGCACCATCCCAAAACGCACCATCATAATCGAGGCAGATGAGATGCACCCTAAGTAACCAAACGTACTCACCTTCAGCTATGCACAACGAATTTAAATCTATAATGTTCAAAGAAAGGAAAAGTTTCTGTAAAAGATTTGTACACTGGCGAAGCTGGACAACTTTGTTCTTGTAGTTGTGTTGGATGTTGCAGTGTTCAGAGAGTTTGCAGTTGATGTCCACCAAACCCTGTCTGGGGTATTTTCTAGAAGGTGAAGTCACCTCGTGGCTGATGCCGCAAAGGACGGTCGTATTTCCGATTTTCACTATTGACGACCCGCAACAAGATTTGACCACGTTTATATTTCCTATGACCGACCTGTAAGAGAAGTGTTTCCTGTTGCCAACAGGGCGGATACCCTTCTGAAGATGTTCTTTCAAGTATTTCGATGGATGGATTTTCTTACAAACGTCTTCTGCGTTATAAAATGCATCACTTTCAGTCGAAGCCATTGTAAAATCCGTTGTAATTCATAAAGGACGACTTTTAGGTTTTATTAAACAAGACCATGCTTGTAACAGTTAGCATCTTCCGTTGTATGCCATAGAAAACAACGCTGTCACGCCCGACAGACCTAAGGCGGCGTTTCTTTCCATTTTAAACAAGCAATAAGAGTAATAAAAAAGCTATTTGGTGAATAGATTAATTATCTAAACATGCAAAACGCACAAGTTCATATCATTAGAATAAATATAAATAATGTTTGTCATCACCAGTTTACTATGTATACCTAGTCTTCTTCATGCTGGTAACTTATGTATTTAAATTGATTGACCCTTCTACATAGGTCTCTTCAGTGATCTTGGTGTTTGACACATCAATTTCATTTGTAAATCATATTGCTGTCATTAAGAAAAAAAATCAAAATATTAGGTTTTATCAATAGAAATACCACTTTAGTTTTAATAATATATGAGTAATAAATGTGTGATATTTAGTGACTAGTTAATAGTTAATTAATGATTATTTGATGATTGTGAGTCGCGGTCTGGTGTGGTGTAGATTTAGAAAAACATTTTCTTTATCGTGCCAACATTTCGATCTTTATTGAGATCATCTTCAGGGCCTGGGATTTATAAACATTGTTTAAATTATACAAATACAGGTAGGATGTGAAAAAATGAATTTCAATGATGAAATTTTAGACTCAACAAAGCCATACCAATACTTTGAATGAGTACAAATACTTTGATTGGGCCTAAAATTTCTATCATTGTATAAATTCATTTTTTCACATCCCACCTGTATTTGTATAATTTAAACAATGTTTATAAATCCAGGCCCTGAAGATGATCCCGATAAAGATCGCAACGTTGGCATGATAAAGAAAATGTTTTTCTAAACCTATGTCACATCAGACCGCATCTCACAATCTTCAAATAATCATAAGCATTCATTCAATTAAAAAGTTAATTATAAAATCATGAAAACTAACCATCGCCTGTGGGGGAGCTGCATTTTAGGAATAAGCATATCCTAGCCATACTTAGAGGCAAAAAAGTGACCACCCTTAATATTTTAAATTATTTATTAGTCAATCCTCCATTGATTATCTTACAACAATATTTGGTCCATTTTAAAGGATTAGAGATAAATAAAACGAAGATAAAATCTCCCACTTATGTTTACAATTGGATTTTGTAAATAAACCTTTAAATAGTCAATGTCTTCTTTGTTGGTTTTTCTTCTAAAGCTTCTTGTTAATGTTCTGGTGTTTTGATTTGTTTAAGTTGTATACATTTTTAAGATTTAAATTTATTTGAAAGATATGTGGCCAGGGTGCTTAGCATTCCCAGAATGACTGTCTGAAGGGTCGACCATCGCCACCATGCATTGGTCTATCAGAATTGTATGGTCAAGACTATGGAATTTGCTTCCCCAGGAAATAGGTCTGTCATCTGCTTCCTTGCTGGCTTGATCCAGGGCCGTATGATCTGAGTTTTTTAAAAACCAACATGAATCATATCTTTTCTTCCCTCTTGCTATTTTTTCTCATTTCCTATGTACCTGTAAGGGGGTCTTAAAACCCTAATTGTACCATTAAAATAAATAAAACCATTGAGTAACTTCAGTAGTGTTACATAGACGGCACCAACTCACCATTAATCCGAGCAACAACTAGGGCAGCCAGGGATTCTTGGCGTAACCATCAGGTTCAAATTTGGTCCCAACTCCTTGAGTTTCTTTGATGAAAGAACTCCGGCAAACCGAGAGCTCAATTCATCCATGTGTTATGAACCCCCAAAATGGAGCCAGGAAGGAGTAGAATGAGCTGTATAGAGGTGCAGTGCTCAGGCGGATAAACACCACAATAAAATATATATATATATATATATATATATATAATAAAAATTTTAAAAAATCATCAGGTTCTGCTCATTCGAAAGTGCCAACGAAAACATTTTGCATGTTCTGTAAGTTATCCGACATCCCCAGCAGAACTGGCAGAATTGAACCAGTTGTAATGTAGGTTTATTTAGACAAAACAATACTCAGAAGAATTTGGAATCTTCGTTGTGTGAGAGCAATTATAATCCCTTTTCTGCACTTATAGCACACTGATGAAACCCATCACGTCAAGGGATTGATTATTAGGCCGTTTTATGGGCTGCATTTATTCTATGGTTATGATAATTGTACCAAATCATTCACTCCTGTGGATAATTGTAGCATCACAGTGTGTTAATAAGAATTAAGGTTAATGTTGATGATGATAATCTTTCTCATGTGTCCATTCAGTCAGCAGTATACTTACGGTTATTTGAATTTGCAATTTTTTTAATTCTTAAACAATTGTTTTTATGAGCTGTAGTAATAAAAATAAATCTAGACCTAGCAATGTTTGTTTATAATATATTGTAAACAAAAATTATATCAGTAGCTTGTAAGTTGAGACCACAGGAATTATGCCATATTTCTACATCATCATTAACAATTTTATTTTTTCAAAACTTCCTAACTGTACAACAAACAAAATAAAAGGCTTTAATGTTTTATTTTTTATTTTTACTTCTGTCATTCTACAACTAAGATGAACATTGGGACCCGTTATAAAAAGAAAGCCATGGTACAACAAAATAGTTGTTTAAATTATCATATGAGTTTCTAATAGTTTGAGACAGTCATTGAATTACTTGCAAAAGAGAGGAAACAAAATTCATTCTTGCATTATTTGATTATCGAAACTCCTCCATCTCACCAAATTATACAGTACATCTTCGAAGGCTTGGGGCGCAGCTGTTAAGATAATTAAGGCAAGTGTGCTTGTTTTTTTATTACATTATGGAATCGTAGTTAATTAAGGAAAATCTTGACGTTCAAAATAATCAGAGACATTGCGTTTTATGTACCACTGAACTGTTTCACAGAGATAATCAAAATTGACTTGATTTTAGAACATAACACCAAATAAAAAAGATAATATTGTCTACAACAATTGGAACAGGTGTAGTATTTTCAATATATGTATAACACCTGTCACAAGAAAAGCAATTGATCACTTGGGAAAATTCATTTTTTGTTGCATTGAAAATATACAGATATGGCAAAAATAATACTAAATTAGAAATATCATTTATAATTGTGTAATCACAGTGGTGCTGTACATGAAAATTCTTGCTTACAAAGACCTTTCTCCACCACTCCGATGTATTAATTAATCCTGGATCAAAACAGAAAACAAAGCTCAGCTCTTTGCTGATTACTTATCTGATGTCTTCTCCCCCCCCCCACTCGTACAAATACCAACACACAATGCAGAGGTTGAAGGACAAATAATTTCTCCAGTTTATATTACTTCCCAAACCTTTTCTACTGACAGAAATGAAAAATTTACACCATTTGTTGTAAACGCATTGAAGTCACCCAACAACATAATTGGCTAGGGCAGACACGAAATAGGAGAGAGACCTTTCCTCCCATTTGGAGTCTCAAACTATGCCAATGGATTTCTTATAAAATGTTTGTTTCTTTTATGAAGTAAAGAATTCTTCCCAAGGGTGTAATATTGACATCTACATAGCACTACAATGGTTTTTCCAGGTAGTATAGAATTGTACTAGTATTGGTAGGGCAGTTGCATAAGATATATTATATTGTCTATGGCTCTTCTCACATAATTGACAGACATTTTTTTTTATGTGTGGTGATTAGTGACCGTTAGTCGATGATTAATCAGAAATCGTGAGATGCGGTCTGGTGTGGTGTAGGTTTCAGAAAAACATTTTCTTTATCATGCCAATGTTTCGATCTTTATTGAGATCATCTTCAGGGCTTCGGATTTACATTGTTTAAATTTAAGGATGTTTGTAAATCCCATGCTCTGAAGATGATCTCAATAAAGATCAAAACGTTGGCACGATAAATAAAATGTTTTTCTAAAACCTACATCACACCAGACTGCAACTCACAATTTCTGAATAATCTTTTTTTTTTTCAATAAAGAAGTCCAATCTTTATCCAATTTATTAGGAAAGTGTTTAGTTGTGTTGTAATTTATCTATTTTGCACAGTTGCATTAACGAGGGATCGACGGGTTAACTTTCAAAAACCATGTCGAGAGTAACTCCTTCACCCTGATGATGGGCTTTAGGCTTGAAATCTGGATAGATAAAAACAACAAAGTGGTAAGAACTATATATTAAAAAGATTAAACAACATATCCAATCCACCATTTATCATTTCTATATGTTATGAGAGTACAACTCAATGGCTGTCCTCAAATTAAGTTAATTAGTTGTGACCACATGTAATTGGTATTGTATATTAAAAATTATATAAAATTTTATAGTAATATCAGTAAGAACCCATGCAATAAATGTATTAATTAATTAACAAAGAAGTTAAATTATGTAATTGTGTCTGATGTAATTAAATCCATATAATAGTCGATTTTGGATGGTCTATAATCTTTGTATGTGAGTTCGGGATGATGAGCCACAAATTTTATCACCATTAGATAGATTAGATGTTTAGGTACGAAGTGTAGCGGGAGTTGAAAATCTATAGCTAAGAGAAATTTTAATTGTCAGAGATGCTTCTCGGTCTGTCCTTGTGGAATGCTTTGGTCGTTTAATTGTATAGGTATGGTCGTAAGATTTCATTTAAGGGTGAGTTTTATCAATTCAGCTTTACTAACACCTTTGTACTCGCCAATTTCTGGACCATGTACCACCGTTTCTGCATGGGATTGAATGTTTTCTGCTATTCCTTGGCATGTACCAAGCACATGGGGACATTTCTACGTATGGGGTACCCAATAATTGTAACAACTTGAAAAGTGGCAAAAGGAGGGAAAATTCAAAAGATGGGGTTGAGATGAGAAGTTAGTGCCCGAATGGATATAAGTCTCGATAGCTCAAGTGGTAGAGCAGCGGCGTATTTAGAGTATTTAGGTCATGGTTCGAATCCCACTTGTGACACTGACTTTTTTATCTCAACCAAAAACCTTAATTAAAGATTAATTAATTGAGAAGAATAATTGTAACAACATTGAAAAGTACTAAATATAGAAAACGTTATAAATAAATAGAATCCACTCAAAGACCATGTTATACAACAGTTCAACAACCTTCAAGATAAGATTTTCAGTTGAACATACTGCAACGTTTGAAAGCAGCGGGTTTTAATGTTGCTCCCTGTTGTTCATGGCAACGGACAAACATCCCCTCCCCCAGACTGTTATCTCTGAAAGGTTGTCATTCTTGTTTTCGCGGGAAACATCAAACATCTATTCCCATTTTCAACATTTTATCACGATTTATCTTCTAATTTTGTTATCAACTCGCCGAGTTTGTAATCGCGTTGTTTCTCGGTTGAGAGTTATCCGCGGAAATTGACAATTTTTACGTCTCAATGCCGTGTATCTGCAGTTCTTCGTGTTGATTCTGAAATGAGCAGCAAAGAGTCGACGGTTTCGAGGGCGAGGACCTCTCGATCGCAGGAGGGGCCGGCAGTCGTCAGAATCAAACGCTACGACAGGCCGAGTTCGGCCGATAAGAAGCCACGCTCTGGAGACAGCAAAGTGGTCACTTTTCTACCGGAAATGCCCATCCCGGAAGACGTGATGATGCGATATGAATACGAGCTGTCTAGGAGAAAGGGCTTAGAACCACCTAGGTAACGGGTTTCACTCCTCTCTGACAGCCATGTCTTCAACGTTGCCAGTGATACTGTCAAATCTGAATATCACTTAAAAACAGCGAAACACTCATTGATTTTGCACCTCTTTCTATTTTTAATTTTACACATGTTCAAGACAGAGATTTTATTATGTTTTGTGATGTATACACATTTCAATGAACAAATATGCATGTGTAAAGACTTTCACCCCGAAGGGTTGTCACTTCCTGATGTGCTGACCTTAGTGCCTATAAGGGGGCGTCAGTGGTCGCAACGGTTTAGGCATTGACACAGCGCTCATCACTATAAGATAAAGGTCCCGGGTTCGAATCCAGCGGCCTTGCATTCAAACTCAACTTACTTACAAATGGGCTTTTTTTTTTTCTCGAAAACACCGGCCACCTGAGGGTTGATATAACCTCTGCTGTTGCGAACCCTAAAAAAAAAAATAATAAAATAAATAAATAAATATTAATAATAATAATAATAATAATAATTAGTGCCTATACATCAGGGAGTTGACCCACCCTGATATATGGCTGGGTCGCTAATATCCCCCTTAAGCCGAATGCCCAGGAGATTGTCGCTTCCATACCAATGGGGTTATGGGCTTTTGACAGTCAGGCTAGTCTATATTATAATCTAGCTTAATACTAATTAAATTAGATAAGCCATTCGCACAAAATATACATTCATGCATTCCACTCATTTTTATTAGTCTGTGGAGTATTGGCTATTCCTCCACTGACCTACACACTAATAAATACTTATTCAGAAATCGTGAGATGCGGTCTGGTGTGATGTAGGTTTCAGAAAAACATTTTCTTTATCGTTTGTAAATCCCAGGCCCTGAAGATGATCTCAAGAAAGATCGAAACGTTGGCACGATAAAGAAAATGTTTTTTCTGAAACCTATCACACCAGACCGCATCTCACGATTTCTGAATAATTATCGATTAATGGTCACTAATCTCCACCCAACTAATAAATACAAGCATTCAAACAAAATGCTATTGCCTTACTGTTTGGTCCTTCTCTGAGGGATTGGATCTTTTAGATAAATAAATCGCTTAGATAAATAAATGAATAATAAACAAAAGAATATTAAAAAAGATACAATTCTTATATTGAGATATTAACAAAATTTGAAATTAAGGTTGTCAGTATGGAGTTAACAATTTGACAATTTTGTAAAGGAAACTAACTGATTATTATTATTATCTTCTTTTAAATTAAAAAAAATTATTAAATTGACTGAATATCACTACTATTATTATTTTTTTTTTTTTAATTTAAAAATGGAAACAATTCTTACATTGAAATATTAACAAAACGAAATTAAGGTCGTCAGTTTGGAATTAACAATTTGACAATTTTATAAAGGAAACTGACTAATTATTATTATTACTTTTTTTATATAAAAATACAGAAATAATTCTTGCTTGACTAAATATTATTACTATTATTTTTTGTAATAACGGAAACAATTCTTATATTGACTTAATATTATTATTATTTTCAAACTGCAAGACAGACTTTGTGTTGATTAAACATATGAAAAATTTGACTCTACGTTGTAAACTAAATGATAAAGAAATCCTTTTCCAAAAAAAACAAATTGAAATGAAAAAACTTGCATGATGATTCTTGCTCGATGAAAATGGGCTGATATTTGCTCCATGTCTCCTCTGGTCTAGCGCAAACCCAACAGGCCTCTTCCTGTGGAAGTCTCCTTCCTCTTCCCTTTAGTGGCTTGTGGAAGGGCTTTGGGCGGCCCATATACATTTCACTATGATAATGCACAATTCTTAAATCTGGCGGCATGACATGCTTGTAATTATGCACATCGAGCAACCTTCCTCTGCATAAGGGGCACTTGCGCAGGCTTTGGCCCAAAAGCAAGTGTCACTGTAGTAAAAATTACTTTAGTAGTTAGTCGATTGCTAAAAAGTTTTTTTATTAATCACAGAATTGTATACAGTTAAAGAATCCAAAAGAAGCATTAAAATATGTCCAAACCTTAAACAATAAAACAATAGAATTGATTGACAGCCAATATTTTGGAAACTCACCTAGACTTTTTGCAAAAAAAAAAAAAAAGTGTCAAAGATATGGATAATATCACACACCCACAAGAAAAGTGGCACAACTCAACAAAAGAAAATTTTACAGGAGAGACAAATGGAAGTTTACTTTTTCTGACTTCTGTATTAAGTACACGCCATTACGATTGTTGACAATAAAAACTGTCCTGATCCATCAATATTGCCTTTTTTTTCTCCAAGAAGCTTTAAAAATCCTGTTGTATTACCCCTAAAAACTACCCCTTTTTTGAGTTGTGACAATTTTCTTCCATATATTTGCTCTCAGTAATTTAAGTTTATTTATTTACCCTATCAACAATGGCGGTCAATGAATAACTGAAAGGGTATTAATTTTTTGTAACCTGAGACTTCATTAATCATTTATAATTATTAAATTTTTTTTAAATAAATAAATTCAGATCATCTCTCTATATTTTTGTAAAATCGTATTTTTCTTTGATGGCCATTCTTCTTTGCTGAGGAAAACTTTCTGCATGGGGAATGCTTGGTAATAAATAATTACATATTGAGAATTTAACATCTAGATTATAATGCTACTACTCTTAGCTTTGATAAATATGAATACACAAAGAAATTTTATTATTTTTCTTTTTAAAATAAAAATTATTTTTATAATTTTGTGTTTGTTTCGGTAGAAAAAGTAAGAGTCATCCCAAGAAGAGTGAAGACAATCTTAATATTGATGAGGTAAAAATCTAATTAAAAATTAATAATATATATTTATTTAAAATTTAATTTTGTATTACAGAATTTCATGGATATAAAAAATAAAATAACTGAAATGGGAAGTAAGTTGAAAGAAGTAGAAGGCAAGCTTGCACAAAGGTCAATGCCAAAAGTTGAATTGCTCCGAAAGCCTTCGAAGAGTGATAGTCATTTCAACATACATGATAAAGGTCCAACACAAATGTACAAACCTGGTGGCTATTCAGAATCGATCGGAGAGAGGCCACCGAGGATGGTCTTCCACACGTCTATTATACCAGAAACAACGCTGAAAAACACAGACCCTTTGAGAGCGTCTAGAATCACGTCTAGTGCCGAAGTTGACAAGGTGATAAGAAGTATCAGGACTGAAATTGAAAACTGGAAGAAGAAAAAATTGAACTTCCAAGGAAAGTTGAACTTCGACGAAGAAATAACTTCTGACATGCCAGCAGCTGGTGAGTTTTACTTTGTCATTTTTAATCGTATAACAAGGCTAAACTTCAAGGCAAATTTTTTATTTATTACCGCCAAAATATCTAATTAAAAAAAGATTTTGAGTACTTACGAATATTTCTATGGGATTAAATAGTACAATGAAAACATCTAAACATCTGTAAAATTAATGCATATTCCCTTTAACCAACCTTTAAAAATCTTCGGTATAAAAAAAATTAAAATAATAAAAAACATTTAAAAAAAAAAAAAAAAAAAAGAGTTCCCCTCTTAAATACATCCCATCCTTAATAGATAGAAATACATACATTCTTAATAATAGCAACAATACAAATGCTCTTTGGTAATATGTTGTAGGTGGCATACAATTTGGTTTTTAACAAAAGATAAAATTTCTAAAGCTGGGTTTTCATTGTGTGAAAATCATACGCAACTGTTTCACAAAACTTGACTCATGTTGTGTATACCTAGCCAAACCAAAAATTTAGGAAATATAATTCAATACCATTTACATGAATAAAATATAAGAATGGTAAAAACAGCACCTTCATGTCATGTAAAACATACTAATCATAATGCTGACTTATAAAATCCCACCATATAAGATATCGAACCAAATAAGAGAGAAAGTGAAATCAGAGTTATAGGGTTGCTAGGATGTTGTACGGGGAAGTGTCGGACAATTAACGGTTGTTAGGATGTTACACACCACTTCTTTGAGCCAGTTTTTTGGATATTGCTAGCGGTTTCGCTTTATTATTATTTAAGCATCATCTGGCTGCTACATGATCAACATCCAAAAAACTCAAAGAAGTGGTGTGAAACATCCTAACATCTCTAAATTAAGAGAGAAATTTTAGAAACATACTAATTTTATAGGGCTCTTGTATTCCAACTTAATTAAAAACAACTAAATCTTTAATACAAATTCAAATATGTAAACTTGGCGGTTTTGTCTCCTCCCATGCGGTGACGTAATGTCTCATACGTGTAAAGCGTTCAGACCCCATTAAAGTGAAGATTCCTCGTCTATGGCACTTAACGGTTTTTTCGTAGTTTTTGAATTTTGCAACTGCCAACTCCCATTCCTCATTGGCCAGTCGGACTGGACGGAGGCAACTAATTTTCACTTTCCTCTTGTAACTGTATTTTTTGAGTTGATATAATCGGTGGCTTATTTGCATGATAAATACGCAATGGGATGCTAGGCGAGACTGCTTGGTAACTATCTTTAATGTTTTAACCATTAAATAAAAGATAAAAATGTAAACTACGCAAATTGTATTATTTTGCTTCTTGTTGATGCTGGGCGTACAAAAATTGCCCGAAAGGAGAAGAAAAAAGACACATGTGAAATAAACTAACCTTTAAAAGAAAAAACACGTGTTTCTTGAAATATCTTAATTAAAAAAAAAAAAAAAAAAATCAAAAGGAAAAAATGGAGGAAAAATGAAAAATATATATATAACTTTTTTGTGTTAAGGTGGCTCTTTTATTTCTAAATACAATTTTTATTAACGCAGGAATATTCTCAATTTCTGAAATCCCATTTTAAAATAAGACTTAAAAAAATTAAATAAAAGAGTTCCAGCACTGGTTGGTTTCTTCCCCCATTGCCTCCTGGTCTGACAGATCTGTCAGATATGGCTATGACTACCATTTGCTTAATATATATTTTGCCAGATTGCAATATATAAAATTAAATTTAAAAAATGTATATGTTATTAAATATGTTAATCGTATAAATGAAATAATTTAAATAAAGAAGAGACAGCTTCAGATGAGGATCGATGAAAAGAGTTCCCATGATTACAAGACATTGACTGTGTTACCTCCAAAGAATTATGATCTTCTGAAAATCCATAAGGAGGGAATTCCGTTGAGAACTATCGTCTTCTGTTTTACAAACTGTTTAAATGGATGAACATAGTTCTTAATATATTGACTAATAACCACCATTATGATATCATAAACTGAATGAAATTAAAGAAGAGATCTTGAAGATAACCATAAGTGAAGAGGATGTCCTTGTGTCCTTTGATGTTAACTCTCTCCTTACCCTCTATTCCAGTTTCATTGGTTTTCTATATCTCCATTGCCATGTTATATCCACTTCTTCCAACAGAATTATTTCTTGAAATCTTGTCCTTCTCTAGCATTAATGGTTATTTTAAATTTGAAGTTACAATTTGTAAACAGAATGATGATGTGGCAATGGGAGGTGTATTATCTCCAATATTGGCTGACATCTTAATGACTGATTTTCTTGATCGGATGTAAATCAAAATCCCCTTTGAAATTAAATTTATCTGTACATACATTGATGAAAATTTTGAATAGCTGCTACTAATCGTTGTTTTTCACTTATGAAATGTGAATAAATGGTAGAATTCCCTACTTGGATATGGACATTAGAGACCTGAAAAGTAAATGTATTAGGGCGGATTGGTATCAAAAATCAACAAATAGTAGCATATACTTTAATTACAATTCAGCCCATTATTATGGATTAAATATTAATTGCGCCTTAAATTTTATTGCTGGTGTACATATGTAATTGTCAGTGACTGAATGGTAATAAAGTAATGGTACAAAATACAAATTATTGGCGCTAGATGGGAGCACTGTAATTGTTGCTAGTCCTTTCTGCATATTAGCGACCTTTTAAAATGATAAAAAGAAGCCTTGTAAACAGAGATAAATCACAAGTTTTCTCGATTACAGATTACATTCCGAGGCATTTGATGGCTTTTATAATTCTTTCCTTAAGTCAGGGTTCCCCAAACTTTAGCCAGGGGACCCTTTTCACAGAATAAAATGCAGGGTGTATCCTTCGCATTCAAGCATTTAAAATAAGATACAGAATAGAAACAACAGAAAATGTCATAAATTAAACATTAAAACAAACATTAGATTGACATATTTACAAAATTCGGAATACAAAAATCAAAGTGGAAAACGAATCAATTGGTATGTAAAGCTCGAGCCAAATTTAAAAGTAATAATTTGAACATTAAGGATTAATGAAGCAATGGAAAGAGTGAGGCTATTAACCTGCACTATTTGAATAAGTTGGGTTTAACTTTTGATAGCTTGAGACGTATGTCGGGTTCAGCATCTATCTAAATCTAGACAGTTTCGGTATTTGGTTTTGGTGGCTGTATAGATAGAAAATCCGGATTCACATTGGTAAGTTGTGGCAAATGGAAACTTTTTGGACTTTGAGCGGTTGAAAGTTTTGTTTTCCCGACGTAGTCAAAAATAGGGGTAGTATCGAACTCAAAAGTAGATTTCAAGGTGGAATCTGATCTTCTGAAGTAATTTCTATCAAAATTCGTATTCACTTGACGATAGTCCGGTTGGCTTTGACGAAACAGAAAACGGTTTGACCACCCATTCTTGGTTCCTCAGCATTGTATCTCGAGCTGTTGGACTAGTGCTCAAAGGACATGTCCAAACTTCGAAGGTGTCCACATATTACATCAATCGGCACGTTCGCAAACTCCAGTTTGTTTACTTGTAAAAAATCATTTAACACAGGCTCCACCTCTTCCTTTTCAACAGAATCAACCCAAAACTGGATTTTTCTTTTGAAGGCTTGAATTTTGTCATTAGCAGCGAAAGTTGTGATACTCTTTCCATGCAAAGTAAGACTCAACTCGTCCATATTAATGAAAATATCTTATAAATACGACAGAATAGATTGCCATTTCTCATTACGGAAATCGATGGCCAATTTGACATTGTGGTCTATCAACAGATATAAGACTTCAGAACGTAATTCCTGTAATTTTGAAAGTGCTTCCTCACGGGACACCCACCTCACTTCAGCATGGTGAAACAGAGAATGAAGTCTTACCTTATCGTCACATAGTAATGTGAAAAAAGTCTTGACTTCAATAGCCGCGATTTGATATAATTAATAATTTGCACAAACTTATCTAAAACTTTCTTGAATGGGCTGGGATTTATTTCATAGCTAAAGCATGTCTGTGGAGAACACTATGACTGCTATTGCAAAATAAAAACCTTTCATTTCATTACTCATTGTTATTAAATTTTTTGATTTTGTTTATTCATTCTACATTTATTTTTGAAATTATTAATTTTTCTCAAAGTTCGCCGCGGACCTATTTAGGGTCGGCGGACCCCAAGGGGTCCGTGGACCACAGTTTGGGAAGCCCGCCTTACATTATGCTCCTTCTCCAAAATCCGCGGACTATTAAACATAAACCAATGACACTCTACTTTTGCATGGTTTGACAAACTCGTGTCGATACGATGCAGCCCAATCTATGATGTTCCATCCTTTTTGGCAATTTTTGCCTTGTTTGCCCTACCTAATGTGTCACCATTTGGATACTGAATAAACATTGTTCGAACTGAGCGAATCTTTTGCCTTCGGCCTGGAATGTATTTTCTTTATTTTATGTGCAAATTGAAAGTAAATTTCAAAGAAGAGTCATACGATTTAAACAGTACTTTCAGTTTTTGGGAAATGTCTGGAACAACTAGTAAGTAGTAATGTAATAGGTGGTAAAAGACTTTGTTACGCGAAATTCTAACTTCAGAGGTATTAGTAGTTATAATTTCCAAATTTGAATTGTTTAATCAATTTTTTTTATGTGGACTGCCGGGTAGTGATTTTGTCTAATGTAAGTATATTAAATATCCTCTTCCCATTTTCTGGATGGCATTCAGTCGCAGACAATTAAAACTCTTGCAATCAAATTTAAGGCCCAATTAATCTTCAATCCATATGAATGGAATGAATTGTAATTAAGGTATCGGCTACTATTTGTTGGCTTTTGATCCGCCTTAATAGATTTATGTTTCAGGTCTCTAATGGCCATAATATCCAAGTAGGGAATTCTATTTATTTCCATTTCAAAAGTGAAAACCAACGATTTATGGTAGCTACTCAAGTGTCAAAGTATGCTCAACCTGAAGCAAATAAATCATCAACGTATTTACAGACACATTTTATTTCAAAGGGATTTTTATAATCCCCAAATCAAACCAAACAAGTTAGTTATTAAGATGTCAGCCTGGATATAACACCTCTCATTTCTATTTGCCACACCTTCTGTTTTAAAATTATAACGTTAAATTTAAAATAATCATTAATTAATTAAGGTTTTTAGTTGAGATTAAAAAGTCAATGGCACGAGCGGGATTCGAACCCACGATCTTCGGCTAGATACGCCGCTGCTCTACCACTTGAGCTATCATGACCTCGGTCCACTCGGACACCAACTTCCCATCTCAACCCCACTTTTGAATTTTCTCTCCTTTTTGCCATTTTTCAATGGCCGCTCGTGCCATTGCCTTTTTTATGTCAACTAAAAACCTTAATTAATTGTAATATATTAATTGGTCAAGTGGACCACGAAATTAGTTAATATAATCATTAATGCTAGAGAAGGACAAGATTTCAAGGATTAAATATTTTGGAAGAAGTAGATATAACGAGGAAATTTCCGACACCTTCTAGAGACTACAGAAAACCAATGAAACTGGTATGGAGGTAAAGAAAAGACTTACATCAAAGTATACAAGGACATGCTCTTGACGTATGGTTATCGTCCAGATCATTTCTTTGAATTCCGTTGAGTTTTTGACGTCGTATTATTAGTCAATATATTAAGAATTATGTTCAACCATTTAGACAGTTTGTAAAACGGAGGATGTATGCATGAGAGGATGGGTTTCAATATTTTAAGATCTATACTCTTATCTGGATCCATCTCTTCTTTATTTAAATTGTAGCGGGTTGATATTATTATTTAATATTTACTATTAACATATTTCTATTGATTTGGCACAAAGCGACAGTCTTGGACCTTGATTACGTACTAAGGCAAGTAAAATAAGCTGGATGGCGGCAGTGCTTGGAAATTGGCAACATAAACCTCACTTTCTAGTCTCCTTTCATCATCATTGTCAATTTCAAATTAACATTAAGTTGACGTTTTGGGACGTACTATGTTGAATAAGGAATGAATAAAATGTTCGTAGTTTCATTGAATCATGAGTTTCAGTTTGTTTTCATCTACTTGTTGTTTCCTTCTTTTTGTGTTAATTCTTCCATAAGTAAATTGCAATTAATTTAAGTAACATTCTTGCTTGGCGTTTTTTCTGTTTGGCAAATAAAAAGAAATTAATAGGATAAACGTCTCGGTATCTCGCGAAGATTTACAATTCCTACGAATCCCCATCGTAACATCCTGTCTGGCGAGTTCCCACAGGAAGCGATCGATATTAGGGAGTTTTTCCAACTTCTGAACACAAAATAACATAAACATAAATAAACAACAGTGTTCTATTTAATAATAATGTCTAGATAATTAATGTACAATGTTAATTTTTTATTTTGTTTTTTAGATATACGAGAAGAAGCGGAACGAGATGCAGAAAGGTAAGTCAATTTTAACTCTACCACAGCATACTAGAGTACTACTAAATAGATTGTTCCTCCAAAAATCTTATTCATTGTTACGTTCCTGTACACTCAATTCCTACATCTGTAAATGTATGTAAATAATCAGTTTTCTTAACAAAATTTATTTCTGAAACTTGATTCTAAACATTATTCTGTGAAAGTCGATTTTAACGCGAAGTAGTAAATGCTTAAATAATTGGGGACTTTGTAAGTTTTCAGTAATTCAAAGGTTTCTTAAGCAAATGATTAAAATTAGACGAAATTTAATCTGGAGTTCAATTTCGTTCAAACAATTTCGCGTGCAAGACACCACTATCTCGTCCTCGATCGTACCACTACAATCTTTAGTCTCGGATGAATTTTGGCATAATGCGATCGCGATTTTAAACCGAAATGTTTGTTTAAAGGTTTACAGAAAGAAAAAACAGTAAAAAATTATTACAATTACTACACTGCAATTTCTACGTACAGTACATATAACCTGTGTTGAATATCGGTCATCCAAACCAGGTCAGGGAAATGGTTTCAGAAGTGTCTTGTATATGGTTAAAATTGTTATTAACCGCAAAAGAAAATCGACTGATGTCAGGATAATCACGAGTATCACTTACCCTAAATGTGAACGTATTCTTTAATTCAATAGTCTTCTTCAAAGTTGTTGAAATTAATTTTAGCCCATTGCTCTGCTAAACTTTGGATGTTTACTGGAAATAATTCTGGAAGTATCCTGAAAACTAGTATATAACAAACATTTAGGATTTCTGGAGCTTTCTTTGGAGGGAGTTCTGGAGCGTCCATAGAAGACACGAAATGGGGTTGCTTCGACTTTGACATATCCTGGTTCTAATTGTTCAATACAATAATCTGTACACAATTAATTATTAATTAGATACACATTATATATACAAAAAATAGTCTTTTCACGACGTTTTTAAATAACTCAACAATTATTGAACTCTGTGTTTGGTTTAGTGAAAGTTCTAAATAAATCAAAGTTACGATTACAATAAAAAGTATTACAAAAATCTCATTTTTCTGAATTTCCATGTCAGCTTGGAACATTTTCTCAACTTATCTCTCATCTCTCGATATGTCGGAACTATCTCACAAGTTATTGCTCTACGTGTCTTAATTTCTAGGCGACGTGCTGTAGATATGTACAATGCTTTCATTCGGATTGTCGGTTGATTTGAGTAAGTTACCTTTCAAAACAAAATATCTCCCCGTAAGTCTGAAAGAGTTGACCAAAAATGAATTTTTGTTCTCTTTTGGATTTGTACTTCATTTTATATATGGACAATGGGTATGAAAATCAGCATATTGGTTAGATTATAACTAAAACTGTATAGTACACAGGGCTATGCAAATTGATACTTGATTTGAGAAGAGTGATTCTCGATCAAATTTGTATATTACCATACTAAATTGTATTGGTTGAAGGATCGGAAATTTTCTATTTCCAAGAAATAGCTTGAAAGGTTTCATGTAGACCAATGCCTACTAACGTTGTAAACTTATATAGAGAAAAAATTTCAGACATTTTGAGTGCTATTTGACATTTAAATTTAGATCTATACTATTCCTACCACTATACTTACTTGTGATAACACTAACCTACTAATTGTAGTGGTTTTTCTTCTTTTTTTAATTAAGAGTTCTTTGTGTGTTAAGAGTAGGTATATGGATCTAACGGGATCTGACAAATAAAAAATAAACGATTGAACCTTTCAGTACGTATGAACGGCTGGTGCTTGTTTCTTAGGATTACAATAGACTCGAATAACGTATGATTGATGGTTATTTGACTTAATCTTTTTTTTTTTTTTGGTAAAAGTGTATCACGTGTGATATTTCAAAGAACGACTTCTTACGTAGGGACGTTAGGTCTAGACAAGCGCCCCTGAACGATGGGGAATTTGTATTCATACTTTCTACCTGGAAATTCGACGTAACACGTAAATCCCAAGCTGCCTCGTGAGGATAACGGTTTCTTAGGTTCGTGCCTCCTGACTCTTAAGGAAGAAGGACATCCAATGACGTCAGAACACCTGGACTCCCGTCAGCTGCCCCGTCTCTCCTCGTGCTTCATTATTCTCATTCCTCCTGGCCCCCTTAATCTTGGCATCTTTCCGTTTCCTTTCTATTATCCCATTGAAATCCTCATCCCTATTATAGGCACGGGGGGGCTTCGCTTGTCTTTTCTTTCGGCCTTCATTTGGGAAGAGCGATCGTATTACGACGGCTGCAAGGAAATAGTGGACAGACAGTCTAGTTGTTTCCCCATTCATAGTTTCTACATTGTTAATGTGATACAAAATATTAATAAACATTTCATTATGCATAATAACAATTACCTGTACAAAAATGACATGTTTCCCAAAAAATATTGGTAATATTAGATTAATTAATTCCATAGTTTAGGTAATGCTAATTTATAAAATATTGTATGTGTTCTTGTGTACATTTTTACATCTAATTAAAAGGCATACAGTTTTTTTTTATTTGGCTAAAGTGCTTTTGAAATCGGCTAGATAAGCTTTTGATTCTAACCTGTTAAAAGGCAAAATTTCAAAATGTTGCTTGTAGAATTACAGAAATTAGCTACTACAATTCTTTCTTGTTTTTATTGCTGTCTTTATTTGTGCACTGTTAATACCATAAAACTTTGTAAAAATTAAAAACACCAGATTCAAGAAATCTAATAGAATCGGAGAGTTAGTATGTGCAGTCTTTTCCATTCAAGGGATGGAAGAGAACTTAGGATTAATGCCAACCGCCAGTGAGTCGAGACTGTTTAAAAAATTTTCCGGGCCAAAGTGAAAAATTAATATAAAGTTAAAGTAACTGACACTGAGGCTTTTTTAAGCTTGCTTAATTGCTGGTCTTTTATATATTTTACTTATCACTTCTGTCATTCAGGTTACTCCTGCACAGAGCTTTTTCATCTCGTTGCAGACATAGTATGGGCGTGTTCTGTTTCTTTTCAGTCTCTTGATATCCGTCCATTCAACTTTTATTTTCCATTCTTAAATGAACTGCTATTTATGGACATCGATGTTATTGCTGATATTGTCCCCAAGATTGATTTGTTTTACCTCTCTAGCTAATGTTGCGTTGTTAAATCTCAATTGATCCGGTTCGAAATTGAGAAAAGTCAGTTTGCGTTTAGAGGAGTCTCTATAGACCTGCAGTGTAACAGTATGTTAAATATAAAAGTCGTTATTTATTTCTAGAAGCTCTACTACACTTTTTGATAACAGCATTATCTTAAAGCGAATTATCTTACAAAATTACTTGAAAACTCGAAAATTACTCAATAAATTTTAAAAATCAACTATTTTTGTATTTAACAAGTAAATAGCTAGAACTTTATAAGATCGAGTTTTTTTTTCAAAACTAAATCTTTTTTTCAAATACGAACAATAATCGTATAAACTTATCAGTATAATTTTTAATTCTTTTATGCCTTGATTTTTATAACAGCAACTCGGTTAAGCCTTATCGTTATGCTAAAGGATTTTTTCTATCCCTTCGAAACCATCCAGTCGGCTAGGAACAAAGGATACTTCACCCGGGCTATAAATTAGAACTGAAGGGCTGTGGAGGGCCTATTTGGTTACGACACGCTATTGACAAACATGATTGCACAAACAATCTCTTGCCCAACCAACCAGCTGAAAAGAGGCTCAGAAACCTTCTGACACAAGGGCCAGCTTTGAAATACGACAAGGGGAAAAAAGGGAGAAAAAAAAGGAAAAGTGAAGGATTATCTCTAGGCTGTGATATATTATAGCCAAGAATAAAATATGATTCTATCACTTGTAATACAGGTTGTTGTAAAATATACTGCAGCATGGATTTTTTTTATTGACGTAACAGTTTCGACATCCTGTCTTGAGTCCTCTTCAGTGTTAATTACATTTGTACCTTTATGGAACTTCCCAACGATGTATGTTTTTGGGTCAGTTTATATGAATTAATCAATAATCTTCCACCAACTTAATTCTGCAACAAGTTAACACATTTAAACAAATTTAATGCCAGCAGTCCGTGGAAAACATCTTTTATTAACGTTACATACTTTCACTTAACAAAGGGACGAGCTTGACTGAAAACTGGGGGACAATTACTGGAAAATAGAGCGAGAACATGCTTACCGGGTCAATTAAACTTAGAAAAAATATTCAATAAACCTTCATAGTAATATAATACGTAGTATAATGTAGTACGCTGTATTAAATGCTATTAAATACAACATTAATTTGCACTCTTTTTCCTTCTTGCCAGTTGCTTTTTTTTATCATGTAAGTTGACCGTTAGCGCTATTGTCCGACCACACACACTTAACCATTCACGCCTATAAATGCATGCCATGTAGGGAGTTGATTTACGTCAATATCTCACCCCTTCCTATCATACATTTGTTCATCTGAGACAGCATCGTCATGTCTGATGATGTACCGTTATGGCATTCTTGCCACTCAATTTAATCACACCTGAATAAAGCCATGTATGAAGGGCCTAAATGCGATCATAAATATATTAACTTAAGGTTTTCGAATAATTTATCTCTGCAAACACTGTTAAGATTTCATATTTTTCTTTTTTTACGTGGATAAGGTGCACTTTTTCACAATCGGATATTGGCATAGAATAGAAAAATTTTGTATTTGTACATATAGTATTTTACAGGCAAACATTACAACGTTACGATTGTAGTACTTGAATTTTAAATAGAAATGTCAATAATATATTCAACAAAAACACGTTACATAAAATAAATAAATGTGTGGTGATTAGTGACCGTTAATCGATAATTATTCAGAAATCGTGAGATGCGGTTTGGTGTAGGTTTCAGAAAAACATTTTAAAAACATTGTCTTTATCCTGCCAACGTTTCGCTCTTTATTAAGATCATGTTCAGAGCCTGTGATTTACAAATGTAAACAATGTTGTTAAATGTAAACAATGTTTAT